TCACAATGACGAGAGATGGGAAAGACTGACTATAATCTCCACTATGATGAGAGATGGGGAAGACACTATAATCTTCATGGGGAAGACTCACTATAATCTCCACTATAATGAGAGATGGGGAAGACTGACTATAATCTCCACTATGATGAGAGATGGGGAGGATACTATAATCGTCATGGAGAAGACTCACTATAATCTCCCCTATGATGAGAGATGAGGAAGACTGACTATAATCTCCACTATGATGAGAGATGGGGAAGACTGACTATAATCTCCACTATGATGAGAGATGGGGAGAACACTATAATCGTCATGGAGAAGACTCACTATAATCTCCCCTATGATGAGAGATGGGGAAGACTGACTATAATCTCCACTATGATGAGAGATGGGAAAGACTGACTATAATCTCCACTATGATGAGAGATGAGTAAGACACTATAATCTTCATGGGGAAGACTCACTATAATCTCCACTATGATGAGAGATTGGGAAAGACTGACTATAATCTACACTATGATCAGAGATGGGGAAGACTGCCTATAATCTCCACTCTGATGAGAAATGGGGAGGACACTATAATCGTCATGGAGAAGACTCACTAATCTCCCCCATGATGAGAGATGGGGAAGACTGACTATAATCTCCACTATGATGAGAGACGAGGAAGACTACACAATGTGATTGCTGTGAATAGGACAGGCAGGGTAGGATAAACCCTACCAACAGAAGATGTAAAGGTGCCTCATCCTCTCCGCTAGCCTGCGGGACACCTCAGTGTTTAGCAGTACCACATAGGCAGCCAGAGAGAACAATGGTGGCAGGTGGTATCTACAGAAATGAACCTCAAGGTCTTAGAATGATGAAGAAGATGGTGTTAACATGTGCCTAAACAAACAAGGCAACCACAGAGTACTCTAACAGTCAAACAGTTGCAGAAGCAAAGGATAATGAAATGATATGACAAACATACTGTGGGGGTGTATTATCTCCATAGAGCCTGTAGCGTATCCCAGCTGTACCATACAGTCCCTCTTCTCTATCTGTTGCCTGCAATTTGAAAAATCAACAGTTTCACATACAAACATATTTCAACCATGAAAAAATATATGATTCAAATTTAAAGGAATTATATAGAATAGTTTAGCATTGCTGATATATACATTCTGACAAGGTGTGCGTTGATGGGCTCCTTGAACAATACTGATAAAGAGGAGAAGGAGAAAAAAAATAAGGAAGAAAATGAGAAAGCAGAAGAAGATAAAAGAAGAAGAGGATAAGTATAAGAAAAGGAAGAAGATGAAGACAGAGAATAAAGAGAAGGAGGCAAAGGATAAGCTGGGGGGAGAAGGAGGAGGGGGGAGGAGGAGGAGAAGAAGAAGAAGGAGTAGATGATGAAGGAGGGTGAGAGAAAGAATATGAGGAGATGGGAGAGGAGTCAGAGTATGTGGACGAGGATAAAACAGAGGTTGTTACCTTCAAGATAAAGAACTTATGGCACAACAACAGCAGATGATTTATTTAGGGAATCACTTACAATATTTACCAACGTCAAAGAACTGCACTGAGAAGGAACAACAAAGTGTGTACTTACACGTATAGTTGTGATAAAAGTACCAGGAATAGCTGTCTCTCTAACTGTCTCGTTGTATGAAGTACGGTCAAACACTGGGGTTTCATCATTTTTATCTAGGACATACACTGTAACTGTTGCTGTACCTGTGGGTTCTTTTGGATTGGTTGAGCTAATGAAGTTCTGAATGGCAAGTACCTGTTTGATGATGAAATATCTTTGTGTTTATTTTGAAGTTCTGAATGGCAAGTACCTGTTTGATGATGAAATATCTTTGTGTTTATTTTGAAGCAACATCATAGCACCATCAAGTGTTTTCAGCCCTTGTGAGAATGAACCACATTTGGTGCTTAACGTTTATATCTTTTTTTTGTCTTCACATGCCGATGACCAACCCACCCATAAATGATAATGGCTACCAAAGGATGCCTGTTTTATCAGGTTAAAACAGGACGGCTAGAGGGGAAGGGGGGGGGGAGCTCTTTGAGGAACTAGGTATACTATCTTTCAGTATACTATCCTAAAAGGAAAACTGTTTGAGTGTCTGTGTGTGTGAGTGCATGCGAGTGCATGTGAGTGTGCACATCTCTCTCTCTCTCTTTTAAATATAAAGTTGAAATTAACCACAATAGTTATCGTTCAAGTTTAATGAAGGGAAAATCATAAGAAAATTACTAGCAAGAATAATGGCTACAGACTACTTACTAAATCAGCTGTACACACATGCTGTGTTTGTCACTGACTCACAGAGCATGTTGAGAATGGTGAAGACAGGTATGCTCCGTGCAGAGTGTCAGGCATCACTTCAGAGGTCCCGGGTAGTTAGTATCCTTTGCATATTCTCTCCAGGTTATGCCCATGTGTTGGGAAATGAATCACTGGCCAGTTCTGCACTAATTGGTGGTGAACTGATGTTTGACTAGCTAGACGCTGTGAGGGCCCTCTGGGAGCGAGTGAACAGTGCGGAGGCGCAAAGAGATCATTACGGTCTAAGCAGAATGGGGCAGCGAAGTGTTACCAGGGGATCTGGCCGACACTCAACATTCAAGGGGAGGACGAAAAACAGATATACAATAAGACAGTTACTGGTGCCATTGGAATTAAAATTCTGTGTTTTCTGGGTAATCTTGGTAATCTTAGTTTCAGCTTCATAGCAAACGAGTCACCCCATAGTTGCTCCGCTCCTGTGCCAATGAAAAACACACAGAATGTTCGTCGCAGTCCCTTGTTGAAAGATTGACAGACTGCTGTCTCAGCATATGCACTAGCATACACACGAATTAAAAGCATACGGTAGCCATCAGAAGTGCTAACACAAACAGTTTGACATTAGAAATGCAGTTCATCATCGACGGTAGCAGAAGTCACCAACAGATCAGCAGATGCGCCCGCGATCAATATTAATCACATAAGGGCACCACCAATATTGCGGCAACAGGCCACGCGCCATTTTCTGAATCTACAATTCACAACACCACGTTGTTCAGTCGAAAAACATTCCAAATAAATTTGCAGCTCACAGGGTCGCGCCATGCACTCAACTCAGTAGCTGGCGCGACGAAACTGTATCCTTTCAGTCTACAAATGGATCAAAAATGCAACGGCCACCGTCTGGCAGAAGCAAAAAATTTGCCTCAACGCGAAACAGTAACCGCGCCTGGCGTCTCCTGCTGCTGAAGATGGAGACAGAGCACTTGTGGGAGTGTCCCGAGTGTTATGATGTCGATTCTTTATTTAACATTCAACATTCTTGGGAAAAATACTGGGCCCCTGTTCTTTAAGAACAATTAGGAGAAATAAATACATTAAAATAAATGAAGCATTCAGTATTTGTTAAAGAGTAAACAATTTGTTTGTTTATCTCTTTATTCTTCCTTACATTTGAATTTTACAAGTAATGTTCCAGATATACAGCATACATTACTGACCACATTCCAGAAGAGCTTCCAGTAGAACTGCCCATGTTTATTGACTGATATTTGGCAGGAAACGTGATCAGCTTCTTGTGAGGGATACTTTACAATTGAATTTATATTTCACATTCAGGCTTTAAACAAAACAATTGCAAATAAGCAAAACTAAGAAGGGATAATAATTTTTTTTTTTTGAAGTTATCATACAGCACAAAGATTATTTTTATTCGAGATTGATAGTGTAAGATAGAAACAACAGGGTGTCCAATAAGTTTCCATAGCTAGAAAAAATTAACAATATTTTATGAAAATTATTTTTTTTAAATATAATATACTCTATATGACTCTCAGTGTTTCAAAAACACATTTTGATGTGTCTCCCCCACTGCTGTATAAGTATAAGAAGGGCTGGCGTTATGCGTGTAATGGTGTTGGTGATATGTTTATCTTTCCAATCTATGGAAATTTTTGGGACACCTTTGGGAATGCAGTCTCTGCTGATACAAGATGTAAAATGCAAGGTAAAAACACTCTTATAAAAACGTCGCTTCTATGTGGGATGCACTGTTTTGTTATTTGAAGCCCCACCCTGGCTTCTGCCAGGGGCCCTCAACATAGCCTTGATGTTTATGGTCTGTTTAGTTGGCTGTACCCTCCAATCACTTGAAGGTGGCTCCTGTATGTTTTTTAATGCAAGCGTACATAGAGAATGCCCTGCAGCCTTGTCAATAGCAAGCAATGTCTTCTGAATACACCTGCACCCAGAACTGTTCTTGGCTTCCTTCTCGGTATTTCTGTTTTAAACTATTGTCTTCTGAACACACCTGCATCCAGAACTGTTCTTGGCTTCCTTCTCGGTATTTCTGTTTTAAACTGCTGTCTTCGCTGGTCTCACACAGATTTTGAAAAAATCTTGATTATTGTCGTAGCAACCCTGGCATACGCTCGCGGCACAGTTTCAGAACTGCTGGCCTAGTGGGTCTTAATCAGCTCTAGTTTGCTGACTTTGGAGTTCTCATTCAATACTGCACATTTTTGGTCTGGACATTTCTGGCATGAGGGGTTAATGCTTACAGACATCACAGCAACCACAAGTGAAGTGGTTCTACTGTCCAAGCTTAAACAATGCTTAAGTACTTTACTGTGGGTACTTACTTCAAAAATGTACTGTTTAGGACCTGTCTCATAGTCAATTGCACCAATGACGAAAATAGTAGCACTGGATGAGGCCGCATCGGAGGAAGGTATGATTCCAAACACATTGGTACTGTTCACGATTCTGAGATCGAAGGAATTGTAAGTCCCCTGAAATAGGAAATTAGGAATTCATGAAGCCGTGGTGAAAATAACATGAATATGCTCAAAAATTATAAATGTAGAGTGTCTGTGGTTAAGGATGCGGGGCTCTCATTTGGAAGAGCCAGGTTCGAATCCCACTAGAGCTGACTAGTCGTAGACAGGCAGACCAAGAAGACAATGGAGAGGTAACATTCAGTCAGACCTACCAACACTTAGTGTCCCCAAAGAGAAAGAGAAGGCCAGCGAGAGAGACGAATAGAGGCAGGTGATATCTGCAGCAATGAACCTCAAGGGCTTAGAATGCTGAGGAGGAGGAGGACAAGAAAAACAACAACAAGAAGAAATAGGTGGAGGAGGAGGATGAAGAGGAAGAAAAAGAGTAGGAGGAAGAGGAAGTAGAAAAAGAGGAGGAGAGAAGAGCCCAGGCCACTGTCCGGGTAAGCAGTTACACCAGCCACCACCCTCATATGCATCATTTCCTGTCACAAAATACAAACTTACAGAATCAATATCAGTGACTGTCATCTGTAGGCCAGGGATGTTGGAGCCCCGGGCAATGTTTTCCTCAACATAAGCAATGTACTGTTTCTCTGAAAACTTGGGCCCATTGTCGTTGATGTCCTCTACAAAGAATCTGACTGAGATTGTGGCTGTGTTTGTTGAGTCATTTCCCATCTGCCCTGTTACAATGTTGATCACTTCTCTAGCCTGGGGAACAGAATCACTGCAAGTTAATACATAGATGGGAAAAGGGAAAAACAGGGAGGGGGGAAGAAAGAAAGAAAAGAGAGAGAGAGAGAGAGAGAGAGGGAGGGTGAGAGAAAGAGAGAGAGAGAGGGGGAGGGAGGGGGAGAGAGAGAGAAAGAAAGAAAGAAAGAGAGAGAGAGTGAGAGAGAGGGAGAGAGAGAGAGAGTTGAGTGGATGATTAGGTGTTTCCATAAAGAAAATATCAAAATATCAGGTGTTGGGGAGGGGGGGGAGCTCAGCCTCCCTCCTCCCATAAGAACAATTTGTAGCAAAAAAAAAGGTAGGGAAGAGGGCCTTGATGCCCCCCCCCCCCCCCCCCCCCCCCCCCCCCCCCCCCGAGTTAACAACCCAATCTTTATCAGCTCTTAGGTCTAATGTATTTACAAACTGAGCTCTGAAAGAGTGCTTGCATGTATCAGAGTGACACTGGTGTACAGGTTGTTCCCCCAAACCTAGTACCAAAGTACTATCCACAGGTTTTGTGCTGCATAGCTTGTCTTTTCCCCTCCAAGCCAAAAAAAACAACTAGTGGGGATATATCTTTTTTCCCACCCCTCTACACTTTTTGTGTATACAATGTGTGATATGGTGTTGCAGGGTATTCTCTCTTGGTGGGGAAACAATGTTTTATAGTTTTTTTGTTTTTTAAGTCTATACATGATTTACTACTAGTTCTGATCAACATTTTCTCCTATGACCTCTTCAGACATGGCATTTCTATGGTTACTAGTGGGGCATACAAGACCAGTACTCAAATTCACATCTGTTAAGAAAACATAACAGTATTTAATGCAGTCATAAACTGAAGAAAGCATGCTAGCACGCAATGATTTCTCCCCAGGTTTATGGTATATCACTTCAGCTGTTAATCAAGGTTCCAACTTCACTGAATAAAAGTCTCACTGTAATTGCTCCATTCTTGGGACAGTGAAAATCACACAAAACGTCCTTCACTGTCCTGTTTGAAAAACTAGTTTTAAAAAAAAATGTATCAATGCAAAATCTTGGAGCTCGCACATGCAAAGAAAATGCATCAGACATTAAGAGTCTCCCACCAGAATTGCAGCACACTCTTGATGCAAGCAGTCAATCAAGAAATCTGGCAATGCACACACATTACTGCATAAGTACACACTATTTTGAATGTAATCGGCCATTCACCATTTAAGCGCAGTTCACAGCACAAAATGACCATGGGCACAACAAAAAAATTTTAAAAACATTGAAACTACAGCTCACAGTGGTGCACCAAGCACTCAACACTGTATCTGAGTAACACAACCTTTGGACTCTATTTCCAAAAATTGGGAAACTGCATCAGCAGACTGTGGCTAAAAAGAAACAACGGTGTAATGCATCAGAGGCCAGTCTGCCTAAACCTCATAGAGCAGTAAAAGTGTATTTCACTGTTAACAGACCACAACCATATACGTCCAGCATGAGTCAAAATAAGACATTTAAAAAATTTTAAAAATGCTGAATCTGATTACCCTAATACAGATGTCATAAGGTACACCTCTCTCATGCTCAGTTCCATCATAATCCAGCCGTTTAGCATTGGATATAACGCCAGATATGTTGTCCACTTGAAACTCATTGACAGCTGCAATAAAAGAATGAAACAGTATTTAAAGAAACTATGTTGTATGTGGGCACAAAGACACCATACTTCTGTACAACTCGTGAAAAAATGGCAACACAGTAATGTCATCTCTGGTGTCCCAGTTATAAACACTCTGATATTCAGTTCAAATCGACCGTCTGTTACCAGGACCTAAAAAGGGAAATAAAGAATAGTTACACTCCCTGTGTATGGTTTTGGGGTCCAATTTTTTGGGAAAAAGAATCGGCCCTCTGTCCCTTAACAATCTTGGGCCATTATGTGTCGTAAAAGGCGATTATTCAAGGGTTTGCTGACATCAGATGTGCTGGGCCAATATATATTGCATATATGGCAGCCTATCTGCAAACAGAACGCAACATGTCAATCGCCCTTTTAAGGGCATACGCAGAAGAAGAAGCAAACATCCAATGCAGTTGCTGGTAATATGGCAACAGACCCCTTTGTCTTAATTTTGGCAATGGTATGCAGCCATAATTTCTAAAAGCAATGGCAAACTACTGGATGTAAAACTGCCTAGTAAAAGAACAAAAAGCCAACAGATGCTAGGTCTGGTTAGCGAGGTCCTGTAAAGGATATGCAACTAACTCTGGTAATATAAAATCAAAAGATAAAAGTCCCCATTTTCACGTTACATGGCACATTGAAGATGGGGTGGCATGCTATCTCTAGACCAGTGAAGTAGTGGTTGTCATAGGTCTCATCTATACATTAAGGAATGCCTACAACCAAGTCAACCCTACCTTTATCTATACAATAAGGAATGCCTACAACCAAGTCAACCCTACCTTTATCTATACAATAAGGAATGCCTTCAACCAAGCCAACCCTACCTTCATCTATACAATAAGGAATGCCTTCAACCAAGCCAACCCTACCTTCATCTATACAATAAGGAATGCCTACAACCAAGTCAACCCTACCTTTATCTATACAATAAGGAATGCCTACAACCAAGTCAACCCTACCTTTATCTATACAATAAGGAATGCCTACAACATAGTCAACCTTACCCTCATCTATACAATAAGGAATGCCTACAACCAAGCCAACCCTACCTTCATCTATACAATAAGAAATGCCTACAACCAAGTCAACCTTACCTTTATCTATACAATAAGGAATGCCTTCAACCAAGCCAACCCTACCTTCATCTATACAATAAGGAATGCCTTCAACCAAGTCAACCCTACCTTCATCTATACAATAAGGAATGCCTTCAACCAAGCCAACCCTACCTTCATCTATACAATAAGGAATGCCTTCAACCAAGTCAACCCTACCTTCATCTATACAATAAGGAATGCCTTCAACCAAGCCAACCCTACCTTCATCTATACAATAAGGAATGCCTACAACCAAGTCAACCTTACCCTCATCTATACAATAAGGAATGCCTACAACCAAGTCAACCTTACCTTCATCTATACAATAAGGAATGCCTTCAGCCAAGCCAACCCTACCTTCACAAATAGTCTAATATTTGGACTCAGTGACTTTGTTCCTTCTGTAAACACATTAGGGCCTAGCAGACAAGCACAGACGTGACTGGGATGGCTAACCAAGTCAGCTTCTTCAATATTTTCTTTTTCTGCATTTGTCCATGAAAGGACAGTTGTTGTGTTGTGGTTTACAGATGAAGATCACAGCACCTTTGCATTTGCCCTTGAAAGGACAGTTGTTGTGTTGTGTTGTGGTTTACAGATGAAGATCACAGAACCTATGCATTTGCCCTTGAAAGGACAGTTGTTGTGTTGTGTTGTGGTTTACAGATGAAGATCACAGCACCTATGCATTTGCCCTTGAATGGACAGTTGTTGTGTTGTGTTGTGGTTTACAGATGAAGATCACAGAACCTATGCATTTGCCCTTGAAAGGACAGTTGTTGTGTTGTGTTGTGGTTTACAGATGAAGATCACAGCACCTATGCATTTGCCATAGAAAGGACAGTTGTTGTGTTGTGTTGTGGTTTACAGGTGAAGATCACAGCACCTATGCATTTGCCATTGAAAGGACAGTTGTTGTGTTGTGTTGTGGTTTACAGGTGAAGATCACAGCACCTATGCATTTGCCCTTGAAAGGACAGTTGTTGTGTTGTGTTGTGGTTTACAGGTGAAGATCACAGCACCTATGCATTTGCCCTTAAAAGGACAGTTGTTGTGTTGTGGTTTACAGGTGAAGATCACAGCACCTATGCATTTGCCATTGAAAGGACAGTTGTTGTGTTGTGTTGTGGTTTACAGATGAAGATCACAGCACGTATGCATTTGCCATTGAAAGGACAGTTGTCGTGTTGTGTTGTGGTTTACAGGTGAAGATCACAGCACCTATGCATTTGCCATTGAAAGGACAGTTGTTGTGTTGTGTTGTGGTTTACAGATGAAGATCACAGCACCTATGCATTTGCCATTGAAAGGACAGTTGTTGTGTTGTGTTGTGGTTTACAGGTGAAGATCACAGCACCTATGCATTTGCCATTGAAAGGACAGTTGTTGTGTTGTGTTGTGGTTTACAGGTGAAGATCACAGCACCTATGCATTTGCCCTTAAAAGGACAGTTGTTGTGTTGTGTTGTGTTGTGGTTTAAAGGTGAAGATCACAGCACCTATGCATTTGCCCTTGAAAGGACAGTTGTTGTGTTGTGTTGTGGTTTACAGGTGAAGATCACAGCACCTATGCATTTGCCCTTGAAAGGACAGTTGTTGTGTTGTGTTGTGGTTTACAGATGAAGATCACAGCACCTATGCATTTGCCATTGAAAGGACAGTTGTTGTGTTGTGTTGTGGTTTACAGGTGAAGATCACAGCACCTATGCATTTGCCATTGAAAGGACAGTTGTTGTGTTGTGTTGTGGTTTACAGGTGAAGATCACAGCACCTATGCATTTGCCCTTGAAAGGACAGTTGTTGTGTTGTGTTGTGGTTTACAGGTGAAGATCACAGCACCTATGCATTTGCCCTTAAAAGGACAGTTGTTGTGTTGTGGTTTACAGGTGAAGATCACAGCACCTATGCATTTGCCATTGAAAGGACAGTTGTTGTGTTGTGGTTTACAGATGAAGATCACAGCACCTATGCATTTGCCATTGAAAGGACAGTTGTTGTGTTGTGTTGTGGTTTACAGGTGAAGATCACAGCACCTATGCATTTGCCATTGAAAGGACAGTTGTTGTGTTGTGTTGTGGTTTACAGATGAAGATCACAGCACCTATGCATTTGCCATTAAAAGGACAGTTGTTGTGTTGTGTTGTGGTTTACAGGTGAAGATCACAGCACCTATGCATTTGCCATTGAAAGGACAGTTGTTGTGTTGTGTTGTGGTTTACAGGTGAAGATCACAGCACCTATGCATTTGCCCTTGAAAGGACAGTTGTTGTGTTGTGGTTTACAGATGAAGATCACAGAACCTATGCATTTGCCATTGAAAGGACAGTTGTTGTGTTGTGTTGTGGTTTACAGGTGAAGATCACAGCACCTATGCATTTGCCCTTGAAAGGACAGTTGTTGTGTTGTAGTTTACAGATGAAGATCACAGCACCTATGCATTTGCCATTGAAAGGACAGTTGTTGTGTTGTGTTGTGGTTTACAGGTGAAGATCACAGCACCTATGCATTTGCCATTGAAAGGACAGTTGTTGTGTTGTGTTGTGGTTTACAGGTGAAGATCACAGCACCTATGCATTTGCCCTTGAAAGGACAGTTGTTGTGTTGTGTTGTGGTTTACAGGTGAAGATCACAGAACCTATGCATTTGCCCTTGAAAGGACAGTTGTTGTGTTGTGTTGTGGTTTACAGGTGAAGATCACAGCACCTATGCATTCGCCCTTGAAAGGACAGTTGTTGTGTTGTGGTTTACAGATGAAGATCACAGAACCTATGCATTTGCCATTGAAAGGACAGTTGTTGTGTTGTGTTGTGTTGTGGTTTACAGGTGAAGATCACAGCACCTATGCATTTGCCCTTGAAAGGACAGTTGTTGTTGTGTTGTGGTTTACAGGTGAAGATCACAGCACCTATGCATTCGCCCTTGAAAAGACAGTTGTTGTGTTGTGGTGTACAGATGAAGATCACAGCACCTATGCATTTGCCCTTGAAAGGACAGTTGTTGTTGTGTTGTGGTTTACAGGTGAAGATCACAGCACCTATGCATTTGCCCTTGAAAGGACAGTTGTTGTGTTGTGTTGTGGTTTACAGGTGAAGATCACAGCACCTATGCATTTGCCCTTGAAAGGACAGTTGTTGTGTTGTGTTGTGGTTTACAAATGAAGATCACAGCACCTATGCATTTGCCCTTGAAAGGACAGTTGTTGTGTTGTGTTGTGGTTTACAGATGAAGATCACAGCACCTATGCATTTGGCCAGACTGCTGTGATGAGAGTCTTCATTAATCACCAAAGAGTGATCAGTTAGTGGTGATTCAATAATGTAAAACTAATAATAAATGATTCAGAACTCACCTGTACACATTTCATAACGAATTTCCCTCGGGTTTGTTAAATCCCCATCAATAGCTTTGACTGCCTGATATGGTGTGCTCTGGAAAAAAAAAAGTACAATATATTCAACCCTCTGAAACCTCCAGGAAAAATTTTTCATTAACAATTTAAAAAAAAAAAAAAAAAACAGTTACCATATTTTTTTCTGAGCATAAAACGCTACCATGTATGAAGAGATCCTCATTTAAAAAAAATACCTAAATAAGGAAATAAATATTTAAAACATATTCCGTGTAAACAATGACCCTCAACTTCATAAACTTAACAAATTTTAGAAAAAAATGTCTTAAAAAAGGAAAAATACAGTACTTCTGAGATCATACCCATATAGGAAAGCAGGGAGTATCAGGGTATTACTTGATGTATTTGTAACAGGCACTCCAATTATAACTTCTTGGGAGGTAAAACAAGTAGTTTTTTTTAAATTTGCTTTTGACCTGTTGTACTGACATCCACAAGGCAGCTAGATGGGTCATTTAGATGTCAAACCCTCAGACAGGAAGTCAGAAAGTTGGGGAACAAATAGTTTCTGCTTGTGTAAAAATGTATTCACATTAATTACTTTTACACCATGCATTTGTTCCTTGACTCATTTGGTATCAAACTAATGCTGACTGTTGGCACTTGTGTCGTAAATAATGCGGACACAAACAATACATCGCAAAATTTATTGCCAGGCATATTTCGTTCTATCTCGTCAGGTGCGTTACTACAGAGTTACATCAACATAAAATGAAGCACAAAACTGAATAAATCAAACTGAAATGTGAAGAGTTTCTTTTGACACATCGTGTGTTTTGGACGCCAGAAGCTCATCGTAGTCACATGACTCCCAGGGTAACTTTAAATTTACTATAAATTCCGTCTGCTTACAAAAGAGCTGGTTGCTGATTTTAATTGTTAAAGCTTCAGCCATCCTCAACAATCACACAATCACCTGTTCGAAGTGTGATAAATCACATGGAAAGCACTGTCTGTGTCAATTACGTGTCCGGAATTAAGAAGATGACGTCTTAGGTAAAACGTGGGTTGACACAGAACTTCAATCCATAAGCAAGGGCCTCTGTCTTCATTTTGTTGAGTGTATGTGTCTGAGAATAGGGGCTATTGAGCTGAAATGCTATAGAAAGATTCTCAGAATATCTTAAAAGATCTGAATATCAAGGAAGATTGGCAAATAAACAGCATCTTTTCCCAAAGGCTGAAATATTTTGGTCATATCAAGCGCCATGACGGATTGGAAAAAATTATAGCAGAAGGCATGGTAACCAGGAAGGAGGGGCAGGGGCCGACCGACATGAAGATGGGCACAGGATATAAGTGACTCCTTGAGTGTGAAAGTGCATGAGGCAGGAGAACTGGCGAAAGAGTTTCTTTCAGGCAGACTGTGATGAGAGAGACGTTCTGCAAAGGACCTGCTACATGATGATGATGATGATGTATGTGTCTGACTTTCCAGATGAAAGTGTGATAATGTGCTACACAGGGTTGCATGGAAATCACATCCCATGGCAAGGTGACTAGCAAGACTAGATTGTGCTAAGAACATAAGATGTAATTCTTTACCTATTTCCAATAATGTTCTCCTTTATCCCACTTCCCTTCCAGATTGTCCCCCTCCATGCAATACGGTCCCTGGCATCTTATCTCCACTAATTCACATCAATAACTCTATCATTCATTGCCAGCTTGCACACATCTGTATATCATAGTTGAAGCCAGCCTAATCATCTTCATCAATTATTATCTAAATAACAATACATTCATTGCCAGCTTGCACACATCTGTATATCATAGTTGAAGACAGCCTAATCATGTTCATCAATTATTATCTAAATAACAATACATTCATTGCCAGCTTGCACACATCTGTATATCAGAGTTGAAGCCAGCCTAATCATGTTCATCAATTATTATCTAAATAACAATACATTCATTGCCAGCTTGCACACATCTGTATATCAGAGTTGAAGCCAGCCTAATCATGTTCATCAATTATTATCTAAATAACAATACATTCATTGCCAGCTTGCACACATCTGTATATCATAGTTGAAGCCAGCCTAATCATGTTCATCAATTATTATCTAAATAACAATACATTCATTGCCAGCTTGCACACATCTGTATATCATAGTTGAAGCCAGCCTAATCATGTTCATCAATTATTATCTAAATAACAATACATTCATTTGAATTTTCTTCAGAAACACTTGCTTCACATGTTTCAGACTAAAGTGCAAGTCAAACTTTACGGGTTGCTGAGTGAATGACACAAGACAGTGAAGTTCATAGTAGAGACAACATTGCAGATATAGATCATCTATTTCAAGCGAACGAAAGAAGAAGTAGTAGTTTCTGACAAAGAATCTCATTGGTTTGTGTACAGCTATCTTCATAAGTAAGATATATTTTGTGCCGTCTACACAATGAAGGTTGGCTGCAGTATACCCCACTGCTGTCTTTATGAACTCTACAAGAGCATCATTTTGCCAGTTCTTCTTTATGGAGTGGAATGCTGGAGAATGACCAGAAAGGATGCAAACAAGCTGTCCACCTTCCACCACACATGTCTATGTAGAATTATCAAAATTTTCTGGCCAGATACAATCTCAAACACTAAACTACTTCAAGCCACAAACCAAGAAACTTTAGACAGTATGATTACCAAGAGAAGACGGAAATGGCTTGGCCACGTTATGAGAATGACTTCTGATATACATGCCAAAACAGCTCTCACATAGACACCAGAGGGAAAGAGAAAACAGGGGGGCCCAAAAAACAACATGGAGACGAACGATGGAAAGTGACCTGAGTGCGGCATCTTTGACATGGAAAACTGCACTGAAGATTGCACAGGACAGGAAAGCATGGAAAGTCCTCTCTGAAGCCTCATGTGCCACTAGGCATAACGAGAACTGATGATGACTGATGTCTTTATGAACAATACACGGTGAGACCTCAATCTCTTCCACAGCAAAACCAATGTACCTTTGTCCAAAACGATAAAAACTTTTTTTAACCATCCGTCGAGAGAAGAAAAACCTACTACTTGATGATCATGAAACTGTTAACCACATAACCTGTCACTTACTTCATAATTATTCTTGTGTTAACCTGGAGTTCACACAAGATACACACACTGAGAAAACAAAATCACACATCCAACAGGGAGTGATCAGAAGATCTACTTCTTCTTCTTCATCATAAAGTGGTTGGTTCATTTGTCTGTCTGAGCAATGTAATTGTACTGTTCCAGTCATGGCATAGCTGTGATACTGACACCTTTCAGCCGACATCTCGGACTTTGTTAAACATTTATCTGCTAGGTCAACTTCTGGATTGAGAATCTATTAAATAATCTAAAAGAGAAAACCAGAGGCTGCCTTGGTGTAGTGGCTAGATGCTCATCTGCCGATCGGAAAGTCAAGAGTTGGGTCATGACGGAGCCTGGCATTTTTGTTTTTCAAAAATGACATTGACCTCCAGGTCAACCCAGCCAAGAATGAGAATCAGAAACAGTCCTGGGAAGTAAAAGCAGTCAGCGTGTTGCTGACCACATCACCTACTGTGCTCACTGGTCTATAAAATATAGATCTACCCCCCCCCCCCCCCCCATGCCTAAAGGCGTGGGGAAAAGCCCTTTGCTTTTTTTGTTTTTTCACTTTTAAAAGTTTTAAAAGGGAAAAGGCAATATAAATATAAATTAGAGAGCAACACTGATGCTGGAAAGGACAGAGATGGAGCACTTGTGAGAATATCCTGAGTGCTGTGATGTTGATTCTTAACTCAACAAACCTGGTTAACTTCTGAACCAGAAGTGGACACCACAGCCTCTCTACCATGTTACCCCCTTCTAGAACACAGAAAAGCTTCCCAATACAAGACCACTGTCTATTGAAAAACCACACTTAATCCCTTAGTAATGACAACTATTAGTATTTAAAATGAAGAAGCCGACTTGGTTCACCATACCAGTCAGTCTGTGCGTGTCTGCTAGACTCTAATATGTTTACAGAAGGAACACAGGGGTCTATTCTTCACTGCCAACACAAAAGTCTGGGCTTGTCTGCTAGGCACTAATATGTTTACAGAAGGAACACAGGGGTTTATTCTTCACTGCCGACACAAAAGTCTGGGCTTGTCTGCTAGGCACTAATATGTTTACAGAAGGAACACAGGGGTTTATTCTTCACTGCCGACACAAAAGTCTGGGCTTGTCTGCTAGGCTCTAATATGTTTTGCCGACACAGAAGGAACACAGGGGTTTATTCTTCACTGCCGACACAAAAGTCTGGGCTTGTCTGCTAGGCTCTAATATGTTTACAGAAGGAACACAGGGGTTTATTCTTCACTGCCGACACAAAAGTCTGGGCTTGTCTGCTAGGCTCTAATATGTTTACAGAAGGAACACAGGGGTTTATTCTTCACTGCCGACACAAAAGTCTGGGCTTGTCTGCTATGGTTCACAGGCACTAATATGCTTGTCTTTTACAGAAGGAACACAGGGGTCTACTGCCGACACAAAAGTCTTAGGCTCTAATATGTTTGCCTACACAAAAGCATGTTGTAAAAGTCGATTAATTGGGAGTTTCCTTCGAAGTTGGATTGCATATGCCTGGGAGGCAAGGAACCAACATCTGCATACAAATGAGTCAGATCTGTTAAACGGTTATGCACGCAACAGGTTCTGGAAGAGGACCAAATTTAGAAGTGGATGAACAACCAGAACTTTCTCAACCAGAACTTTCAGCAATAGTTTACAGCTGGTCAATGCAAAGAAGAAGACAGCTTTTAGTGAGAATCTTCTTCTTCTTCAACATTCTGAGCCCTTGAGGTTCATTGCTACAGATATCACCAGCCTCCATTCATCTCTCTGGTTGGCCTTCTTCAACATTCTGAGCCCTTGAGGTTCATTGCTACAGATATCACCCGCCTCCATTCATCTCTCTGGTTGGCCTTCTTCAACATTCTGAGCCCTTGAGGTTCATTGCTACAGATATCACCCGCCTCCATTCATCTCTCTGGTTGGCCTTCTTCAACATTCAGAGCCCTTGAGGTTCATTGCTACAGATATCACCAGCCTCCATTCATCTCTCTGGTTGGCCTTCTTCAACATTCTGAGCCCTTGAGGTTCATTGCTACAGATATCACCCGCCTCCATTCATCTCTCTGGTTGGCCTTCTTCAACATTCTGAGCCCTTGAGGTTCATTGCTACAGATATCACCAGCCTCCATTCATCTCTCTGGTTGGCCTTCTTCAACATTCTGAGCCCTTGAGGTTCATTGCTACAGATATCACCAGCCTCCATTCATCTCTCTGGTTGGCCTTCTTCAACATTCTGAGCCCTTGAGGTTCATTGCTACAGATATCACCCGCCTCCATTCATCTCTCTGGTTGGCCTTCTTCAACATTCTGAGCCCTTGAGGTTCATTGCTACAGATATCACCAGCCTCCATTCATCTCTCTGGTTGGCCTTCTTCAACATTCTGAGCCCTTGAGGTTCATTGCTACAGATATCACCAGCCTCCATTCATCTCTCTGGTTGGCCTTATCTTTCCAGTTAGTGACACCAAGTGTTTGCAGGTCTCTGGACATCATCTCTCCATCTTGTTCTTGTTCTGCCTCGTGGTCTACGACCATTCAGTGTATACAGTTTTTATTTCAATATGCCCCAACCATTTCAGTCTATAAGCTCTCATGATGCCAGTGAACTGTGGTGATTTAGATTATAAATTTTGTTATTGCTTCTTACTCTCCATTCCCCGCTGTCTACATCTTTGATGAGTCCAAAGATTAGTCGTAAAACTCTGTTTTCAAAAACCTGTAATAAGGCTTCATCTCTTTTAGATGTGCTCCAAGTTTCAGAGCCATTTAAAACGACGGTCTTATCAACGTTTATATATTTTAATCTTGGTGTTGCGAGACAGACACTTTGACTTTAGCAGATGTTGAAGGGCATAGTATACTTTATTTCCAGACTGTATTCTAGATAATATTTATTCTCTCAGCATGCTGAAGCAGTTAAAGTTTGCACCCAAGTACTTTTATGTTTCCGTTCGTTTGATTTTTATATTATCGACTTGTATGTGGCCGGAATTTATATCCTTACCCTGTCTAGTTATTATCATGTATTCTGTCTTATCTTGATTAATAACCAGACCTATTTTGTGAGATGATTCTTTTCACCCACTGACTACCAAGCACATTAACCCTTGCATTTCCCCAGATACCACGTATTTTAGTGTTTACTAAAAATGCCATAGCTTCACAACTATTTGATATAATCTCACAATATTTTGTATTTTTGCACCAAACTGAATGAAGAACAAATTTCAAGAAAAAAAAGTTGTTTATTTTGTTTTGCATCATCATAATGTGGCTGTAGATTAGTGCAAAAAAGGCAACCGAAAAATCTTTTATCTGACAACAATAAAGACTAATAAAAATGTCTTATTTTCAAAAAATATTTAACAAAAATGTATAATATTTTGTATTTTTTGCACAAAATTAAACCAAGAACCCATTTAAAGAAAATAAAAATAAGGTTTACTCTGACATAGTCATCATCATCATGTGGCTGTAGATTGTTGCAAAAAAAGCAACTGAAAATCTTTTATCTGACAACAATAAAGACTTAGTGATGATTTTTTTTCAAAAATATTCAACAAACATATTACATTTTGTATTTTTGCACAAAATTGAACCGAGAACAATGTGAAGACAAAAAAATGGGGTTTACTTTGTCTGCCATAATCATCATCATTATGTGGCTGTAGATTGTTGCAAAAAAGGCAACTAAAAAATCCTTCATCTGACAATAATTCAGACTCCCAAAAAATGTCACAGCTTCACAACTGTTCAATATCACTTATCCTATCTGATATTGTTTGCACCAAATTAAATAGATAACAAATATCAAGACATATGTAGATTTACTGTTTTATATCATCATCATGTGGCTGTAGATATGGTGCTGAAAAGGCAACAGACAAATCTGTTATCTGACAGCAATATATAGAAAACGCCCCCGTGACGTGATGGTGGCAGCAAATGATGAGTGGATAGATGGATATAGACTCCGGTAGTCTGAAATAGACGGCTTTTTCACAACACATGTGACGCAACAGTACAAGAAACCATGTTACTTCATTTGGGGTTGTGTGTTTCCAGTTCTTGGGAAAACAGCTGTCTGGTTTCGCACCAATCTTTGCCTCAGCATAACGGTTTGTTTCTTTAGCAAACACAGCCAGAATTTCTTTACTGAAGAAAATATTCAGTGGTTCATTTGTTCCTGCTGGCAGAAATAAACCAAAAGTGCCAGTAAATGGGGGTACTCCAGGAAAGCCTTCTAAATCACAATGCCAGTCATCAACCATTGGGGGGGGGCTTGGCACATCTTCCCCGGACTCGTCAGATGATGATGATTCTGAATCAAAAGCGGCAATGATATCTTCGTCATGTGCAAACTCACGCACAAAATCTTTATAATCTGTGGGCTTTGACTGAATACTCTTACAAGAACTATCAGCATCATAAACTGCGGCACCAGTACTTGCAGCCGACAACACTTTGACTGTCTTTGTCAGACTTGACATCGAAGCTTCATTCTGTCGTTTTACAGTCGACGATGTTTTGAATGGCACTTTGTTAAATTTATTATAGTCATAGCCATCAAACTGTTCAGAAGTGTCTTCAAATTCACTTTTTGAAGCAAAATCAAGAAAATCAATGCATCATTAGAAAAATTAGGATAGATATGGCCACCACGATGGTTCCGATAATTTGACGCCATGATGAATTTTCGTCAATGTCTCACCGTCATGGGAGCTAACTAAAAAAATTTGTCAAATATTTACTTTAAGCACTACGAAGTTATTTCCCTTAATTAACCATACAGAAATGAATAAGCTAGAGGTTTCAACTAAATCCATCATAAAAATCGCGATTTTAACATGACGGCGAACGTCCAAAGCTAAAATCGCAAAGGGTGTGACGTTGGCAGAAGGAAGTAAACGTCGCCTCGTCGCATTACGTGCGACGCTGGTAGTCAGTGGGTTAAGAGAGTCAGTGTTTTAACAGTCTCTAGTTCACTTCCATCTACGATATCAATGTCATCTGCATATCCAAGTATTCTTGTAGATTATTCTATAGTACACTCTTGTTTCCATTTCCTTATAATTTTCTCCAGGGCCAAGTTGAAAAGAAGTGGGGACAGAGCATCACCTTGCTTTAAACCAGATGTTATTTGAAAAGGGTCTGACTTTCTGCCTTTATACACCACCATATTACAAGTGTCTTCCATACATAGTTTGGTCATGGTAATTAACTTCTTTGGTATTCCAAAGTCCTTCATAGCATTCCAAAAAATGTTTCTATGTACACTATCACACGGTTTTTTTTAAATCCACAAAAACATTATGTACATCTCTTCTAGATTCCTAGTTTTGCTCTACTATTTGCTATAAAATAAATATCTGTTCTATCGTTGATCTGTTCTGTCAGAAACCTGCTTGGTATTAGTGAGAATGCATGATTTTAATAAATATGGCTAATACTTACAACTGGATCTTCTTCGTAAATGCTTTTTGGGCCTACGTAAGACCATTTTGGTGGAGCATCGTTGACATCCTGAATTTCTACATGGACTTCAATAGACACATAAAATCTGCCATCCTGTAGAATGAAATTGTATGTAGGTAAGTCTACAACAGAAAGAAACAACTTTAGACTGTATATTATTAACTGGAAGAGAGAGAAACTTATCAAGTAAAAATGTAGGAGAATGTGAACATGAAGGTAATTAACTCTTTCAATCAGCCAACATATTATTACGTTGGTACATTTCACCTTTAGTCCGGGGAGGGGGGGGGGGGGGGGGGGGGGGGTATGTTCACCAACATGGGACCTGTATTCGGGTCCTGTGGATGTAGTATACCCCTTATTTTGCTGATTTCAGTGGACTAATTGGGGCATCAACTATGACCATCTGAGATGCAAATCTCAAACTAAGAGAGGTAACAAGAAAACAGCTATCCAAGACATCAGAAAATACAGAATTGGCCCAACGAAGACAATTACACTCTAAACCAGCAAGGACAGATCAACTCTCTTCATTTCAGCAACGGACATCCTCCTCTCCATGTAGCAGGTCTTGTACAAAATGTTGTTGCCACCACAGTATGACTGGGGGGGAAACGTGGTCCCTCATCAGCTCTCCTGCCCATGGTGTCTCCTATGTCCTGTGCCTGTCTTCCTCCTTGTCAGCCTCTGATAGCCAGTATCATGTCCTCTGCCACTTAATTTTGTCCCAATACAGGACACAATTTGGCTGGACTTCAGGTCACTCTGTTACCATCGTTGGGAGATCTAATACAACCTTGCGGTTGAAGGGAGTTTCTGCAACTTGAACCAGGCAGATTCTCATCCAGACTGTGGCACTTTGCATCACCAGGTGTTTATCACTCACTCACTCACTCCGCTACTGTTCGTTCCGATCCAGTGTGGAACTTGATATTTCCATTTCTGAGACAAAATGAAGTTTATGAACCAAGTTGCCTTGATGTTCAAATCATTTAGGATGTCAGTATTTCTTTTCTTCTTGGTCCATGGAATTCTAAGAATCTTTATATTGCATTTAAGCTCAGAAGCACCTATTTTCTTCCTTAATGACTGTGAATGATTTGTAATGCTGTTAGAACAGGATATGTCAGGCTAGTTTGTTAGACATGATCTGTAGGACTGTCACATGTATAATAAGTGACATAAAGCTAACAGGATCACTAAGTAAGCACTAAATTCCCAGCTGTATAACATTAAAAGACCATCAGCTATCAAAAGTGATCAGTCATTTAAACACTTCTATAAAGTAAAGGACCTTTCTGAAGCCAGTGGAAACCTAGGTATATTTTTTTATAGACTCATTTGAGTTGAGTTGAGTCAAGAATTGACATCACAGCACTCCAGGCATTCCCATGCATGCTCCGTCCTCATCTTCAGCAGCCAGCGCAGAGTTCCAATACTGATGGTACCGGTCACAATCTGGTTAAAAGTCCATCTTGCTTTTCCTCTGAGTGTAGTGAGCCGGCTAGACCCTCTGATTACACCCAGGCGCATAGACTAATTTTCATACAGCAATCATACATCATGTGTGTGTTTCAGTGCATGCATGTTTATATGTGGGTATGCATGAATATGTATGTGTGTGTTTCAGTGCATGCATGTTTATATGTGGGTGTGCATGAATATGTATGTGTGTGTTTCAGTGCATGCATGTTTATATGTGGGTATGCATGAATATGTATGTGTGTGTTTCAGTGCATGCATGTTTATTTGTGGGTATGCATGAATATATGTGTGTGTGTGTTTCAGTGCATGCATGTTTATATGTGGGTATGCATGAATATGTATGTGTGTGTTTCAGTGCATGCATGTTTATATGTGGGTATGCATGAATATGTATGTGTGTGTTTCAGTAGTCGGCTCTGTGGCTAAGTCGATGCGAACGCTTCGCTTCGTAATGCCGGGATGCCAGGTTCGATCCCAGCTGCGGGCATTGCGCCTTGCGTTGGTTTCGACAGTGGTATCAAGAAAGCCGACCGTCCAGCAAGCAATGGCAAACTACTGGACGTAAATTGTCTAGAGAAACCACACAACAGCCAGGGGCTGTTAGGGTTGGTTCTGCAACGTCCTGTAAAGGATACGCAACTAACTTATTTAAGTGTTTCAGTGCATGCATGTTTATATGTGGGTACGCATGAATATGTATGTGTGTGTTTCAGTGCATGCATGTTTATATGTGGGTATGCATGAATATGTATGTGTGTGTTTCAGTGCATGCATGTTTATATGTGGGTATGCATGAATATGTATGTGTGTGTTTCAGTGCATGCATGTTTATATGTGGGTATGCATGAATATGTATGTGTGTGTTTCAGTGCATGCATGTTTATATGTGGGTATGCATGAATATGTATGTGTGTGTTTCAGTGCATGCATGTTTATATGTGGGTATGCATGAATATGTATGTGTGTGTTTCAGTGCATGCATGTTTATATGTGGGTATGCATGAATATGTATGTGTGTGTCGTATTTTTTTTTTTAACCCTATCAGTCTAATTACCTGTGGTTGTGACACAGTCGCATTAAATGCTGTCTAATCCCCATTTCTGCTGTGAACGTTTTTTCAAAAAGTGTAGTTAAATGCCATTGGTTCTTTATGTGCCTGCATAGTGTAGAGGGGGCCCACGTGAATACATGAACTAAATTTACCATTTATAGGGGTTTCCTTGTATATCCAATGGCTTTTTTTAAAAACGCCAGGTTGATTAAAAAATGCTCCTCAGTGATTGAGGTCATGGGGTCATAGTGTGAGTCACCCAATACATATTTTTGTGAAGGCCCTTGCGAATGCACTCCTTTAATGCTTCACACTATAAATCTTTAAATATCTCAGACAATACAATTTGAAATACAGATAAATACATTTTACAACAATTGATTAGTTATCCCTGTAATATAGTTCTTTTAAAGATTTTTAAGGAAGTTCCTATGGGTTCATAACCCCACCCCCCCCCCCTTTTTTTTTTTAGCATTCAGGGGGCAAACAGGTTAAATACACATGTTTTACTGACCATCAAACAACTTAGTATTTACTGAGGCAATCATGCTGGTGCTTGTATTTGTGTGAGCATGCAGGCAAGAGTGCAAGTGGGAATGTATTCAAACATGCATGTGTTACTGGCTCACAAACAATGCAGTACTCACAAAGGCAATCAGCCTAATATTGTAAGCATTCCTGGTTTCAAAATCAAGGGCTTTGTTTAAAACCAAGCTGCCATTCCAATATTTGTTGGTCCTGTCTGCCACCACCAAACGAAACGTGTCACAAGCATCTTGAAACTGTTATAAGAGGAGGATAAAATGGGTATCAATTTCAGCAGATCAACTAATGTTCCTCTTCTTCTTGTGTTTTCATTCTTAAAAGGGATGCTGGCATGCTGTGGTTTACAGCTAGGCTGTGATATTTACACCTTTTGGCCCAACACAAATTTAAACAAAATCCTCAATTAGTTGCTTTAAAATAATGACAGAGGATATATATATATACATGCATGCCTGATGATTTTTTCTGTGGACATGTAATGAGAAGGGATTGGTTCAAGAACTTAACACCTGGAAATATTCATGGTAAAAGAGCAAGTGGAAGGCAAATAGATGAATACCTGAATGGCTTAGCCATATGCGTTGTCGGGTGAGAAAAGGAGCACTGGAAAATATTGTGAGGCTGGAAAGATCCCTGGTAGAAAAGGCAGAGGCAGACCAAGAGAAATGATGATGGAAGGCTTAAGACAGTGGCATGGAGGGAAATCATCAGTGGAATTGATTCAGAACACCAAAGACAGAGATCTGTGGAGATGCATGGAAAGCCTATGCCAGCTGGCAAGACACTTGATGATGATGAGTTCTGTTGCTGGAGTGAACTCTTTTAGTCCCCAGACAACACACCATGTGTACTTGATATTACTCATGTGTACAGTCTAGACGTTTTGTAAATCTGTACATCTCAAGTTTAACTAGGTGAACTCAAAAGCAATCCAGCAACACAGATCACCCACAATGTGCTGTGTATTTGGACCCCAATTTGTTTGTTTGTTTTTCTTTTCTTTTATGGTCATTAATATTGCTTCAGTCAGGCATCAGCTAAGATTTTATGTAATTGAAAGAGTTAATCCTCTTCTTCTTCTCTCCCCCCCCCCCCCCCCCCTTCCATTGTCTTTACTTCTTCCTCCAGTTACCTCCCTGAAGCTTGAGGTAGATGTAAGAATCTTATATGTGCTCTTTCTAATGCACTACCTGAGTTCATCATAATTTCTTTCAGACTGGCTTGGATGTCATTCCATTTCTGCTTAGTCCTCAACTTGGTCTGTGCTCATTACATTTCTTCTCTGTGGCAGCTCTTACCCAGGGCAATCTAGTCACTGGCCAAACTATCTCATCTGTGGGTCTTTAATAAATTGTATGACTGCTTTCAGTCCTGATCTTCCTCTATATGCTTGCTCTTTTTGTTATTCTGCAAGCTCTTCTAAGATACCTCATCATTGTTACAATTTGGCATTCATTAGCTGGAGTAAAGGTCCATGTTTTACACTGGTAGCATAGAGAAAGATGCAGTTAATAAAACAGCTGTCTATTATAGATATAAATAAATCTAGGACATCTGTTTGCATTGTAACATTTTTGGTGTCATTCAGTGTCATTCAGAAAATCTGGAATTTGAAATGTAAAATTGTTACAAATTTGTGGTAGATCAATGTGATCCAGTCCTATACTGGGGAACTGTTCTCTTCAGAAGTGGTTATCGTCTTCTTCTAGCTGTTCACCGGCTGTAAACTCCAGTGGAAAGTTCTGGTTGTTTGTCCACTTCTGGACCTCAGTGTCATTCCAGAACTTGAGTTTTATATGCACATCTGTTTTACAGATCCGGCGAATCTGTATGTAGACTGTTGGCTTCTTGCCTCTCAGGCAGATGCGTTCTGACTTTGAAGCAACTTCCCTAATTAGTTACCTTCTATGACATACTTGAGGGAGGCAGTGAGTCTAACCCCCCCCCCCCCCCCTCCCCCCCAGAACCCACATTGGGATTGTCAATTTGAAAATACAAATTTATATAGAAGATAAGTGAAGAAGTTGAAAAAAAAAAGATTTACCAAGGTGGTGTTTCCTCCACAATTAACCTGAAGCTGCAAATTGACAGTATCTAAATCAGTAACTGAAATCAGGGTCACAACAAAGCCAGGTCTCTCATCCTGAAAAAGAGTTAAAAGATCACAATAAAATGTTTAGCTTGCCTAAATTATACTCCCATCATCATCATGTGCCCTGTTGATAAGCATCAACAGTTTTGATCTATCATCCCAAAGATCACTAAGTCAGTGATATAGTATTTCAATAGTGATTTATAATGCCAGTGGTATGGTATGGAAACAGTGAGTTATATGCAGTTACATAGTAAGAAAATAGTGAATTTTACACCAGAGATATATTAACTCTTTTGAGTCCCAGGGGGTTTTGCATCAGAGGCCCCAGGGGGGGGGGGGGGGGGGGAGGGGAGGGAAAATATGATTTTGACTTTTTACAAATGCGGCACTTTAAAACAAACCACACAACTACAGCTGACGTCTAACATACACATATCATACATAAAATTAAACATAAATGGATAAGGATTAATATTAGCATACTGCTACAACAAACAATTATACTGTTAGTTAGTATTTAGTAGAGAAAACAGTGACTTAGTTTGAGAGGTGAGTAAATTATGAACAAGCTTTTCCACTTACCCAGAAGCTGATCATATAAAATTCTTGATATAGTATATCCAAAACGCATCACAAAGGAAGGTACACCACTTATAAGTATGCACAGCCAATATTAAAGCAAAATGTGCAATAGTTGTTGTTCCATAGCAATTTTAAAAACACTACCATAACAAGTCAAAATATATTCTCCAGTGGCACAAACAGTGACTTTTCTAAAAACAATTGAATTCCTCACATAGAAAAAACTGTAAAGGCACTGTAAACATGTCAACCTGTTCATAGATATATATCTATGGTTTTAGATGATATGGATAGTAGTACTGGAAGCGCTGACATTTAGCTTAGCTGGCGTCGCGTTTCCAGGTGCTTCTCTTGTGTTGCCATGGCAGAATTAGTCAGTTTTGTCCTCTTAGCAGGAGGTAAATTACGCACACATTCCTCATCAAAACTTGACTCGTCAACGGTTTGGGGAAATTTTACATCACTACTATCATTATCCAACTCCACATTACTTTAATCGATCGACTGTTTTATCAAATTTGATGATTCTAAAGCCGTAAATCGCTTTGATGGGCGTGAAGACGATGACTGATTGGACATATTGTTTTCAGACAATTGTTTGGTAACGTAGTAGACCACACAAATATCGATTTAAAGCGTTAAAAACTCACCAGACCCAAACGAATGCACTCCACGTGTGTTTACTACACACTTGAGAACCGGAAAGGAAGTTTAAATTAAGCGGTTTGCGTGTAATTACTGATAAGTGGTAAATTAAAAACCGTCACACGTCACGCGCTGTTTGGGCCCCCAAAGTAGTAACAAATCAGCGCGTGATGCGTTCCTTGAGACTCAAAAAGTTAAGGAAATAGTGAATTATATGTCAGTGATATAGTAAGCAAATATGGAATTATACATCAATGATATGCAGTACAGAAATAGTGAAATATAAGCCAGTGACTAAGTATGGAAATAGTGACTTCTAAGCTAGTGATATAGTAAGGAAACAGTGACTTATACACCACTGATATGGTATGAAAATAGTGATTTATTTGCTAATGATATACTATGGCAATGCTGATTTATGTGCCAGTGATAAAGTATGGAAATAGTGATATATTACCAGTGATATACTATAAAAATAGTGATTTATAAGCCAGTGATACAAGATGGAAACAGTTATAAATATGCTGATGATATAGTATAGAAATAGTGATTTATTTGCAAATGACACAGTATGGAAATAGTAATTTATATGTCAATAATAGAGTATTGAAATAGTGATTTATTACTTAATGATACAGTATGGAAATAGTGAATTATATGCCAGTGATATAGTATGTCGGCGACTGTGGCTTAGGCATTGCGAAAGCGCTTTGTAATGCCGGGGTGCCAGGTTTGATCCCTGCTGCAGACTAATTGTCTTGCGCTGGTTTCGACAGTGGTACCGAGAGCTGACTGTTCAGAGGCAATAGCAAACTACTGAACGTAAAAATTTGCCTAGACAAACCATAACAGCCAATAAATGCTGGGGTTGGTTCTACAACATCCTGTAAAAAATATGCATTCTAAAGTAAAAACAGAAAAAAATATAGCATTGAAGTAGTAAACAATATACCTCTGATATGGTACGAAAAATAGCAGTGTCTGTAAAAACTGGTGCATTGTCATTGACATCAATCACAAAGACTTTGCAGTCACGGCTCTGAAATATATTAAATAAAAACAGTAAAATTTGACTGAAAGAAATAAGAAAGAGATAAGGGAAATATTTTTTGCCATTTTAAAAGACATACGTATACCGGATAAAGTGCACACTGGAATGGAAAATTGAAGGCAAATGCGTAAGAAGTAGGCAGTGGCATAAGTGGGGAGATAATATCAGAAGATGAAGGAACAGCAAGCAGCCTGAGAGTGTACAACTAGAGTGATAACACTCAATTCACAGTTAAGGGTTTTGGCTAAGCAGTTCTGCAAAATGAACAATCTTAGTCATTAAGAACAGCGTGACTATCCACAAGAGATTAGAAGAACATGATGCTAGGAATGAAAAAAGCTAAAACTATAAAATTTCCACATTAGCACCTACAGTGAGGTAGTCACTGAAACACAGGCAGCTCTAATGAAATAAAAGAGAGATGGCACAATATAGTTTTATAACCAAAAGGCTGACCACAATTCACTCATTAATCCAGTTATGCTCACATTTCTCAGATTATTCTGTCTCAGATTTCTTAATTTTTACTTTAATTTCAGAAATCACTCAGTCCAGTGGCTAGACGCCCAACTACCGACCCAAAGGTCTCGGGCTTGAATCAGCATCTAGGTGGAATATTTTTTTTTAACTGACTGTAGCTACAAGGTCAAAACAGTCTAAAATGAGTGACCAGGTAATATCCTTTGAAGCAAAGACATGATGCTGACTGACCATATCACCCACTGAGTGCTGGGTGGTTTATACAATTATAAGTCTGGCATCTTTAGCTGGCGTAAACGTCTTCTTTACTGTAATTTCTTCTGTCTCATGCATGAGTTATTTTAATTCCATGTACACTAGGCCCTCTTTAGTTGACCACCTCCATATACTGACCATCTCCAGAAGCTGACCTCGTTTTCATTGATCGGACGGTCACCAATAATTCTCAAAGGGAAACTACCTCTAAATGCTGACCATCTCAGTGAGTTGTATCTTGACCACTTGGACTATGACACACCATCTTTGCTCCAATTGTGTGTGTGTGGTAAATATAATCATACCCACTATGTATGGGTGCAGCAACTAGACACACACCTGCAGATCGAAAGCTTGTGGGATCAGGCCCTGACGGTACCGAATTTTTCAAAAATGACCTTGGCTCCCAGGTCGACCCAGCCTTGAATGGGTACCAGGTGGAGTCCTGGGAAGTAAAGGCAGCCAGCGTGATGCTGACCACATCACCCACCGCGTGCTGACTGGTCTATAAAATACAGGTCTAGCTCTGTATGTCAAATATGCCTGAAGGTGTGCACAAGGGGTTCTTTACTATGTCTACACACTATTACAGGCCTAATGACAACTGCCCAAAGACATCATCCCATTAAACCATTTTTTTCCCACACCCAGTGAAACCTTTATTGGCATTTATATAACAGAGTTAATATCTATGCATACTTATAAATGTGTTTTAACAAGGTGTGTAAAGGTAAAAGGAAAAGACTCCATTGTACCAGGTTTTATATCATATGGCTCAGTTTCTCTACACACTGGCCAGGGGTGTCAGAACCCAGGGACTCAGTCCACTTGAGGCCCCCCCCCCCTTTCTTTTCCTGAAAAAACAAAATGAGGTGGTCCAAGGCCCAGCCTCAATAATTCTGTAGGGAGGCTAAGCAACTACTTTTAACCAAGTACAAAGATTCTCTTAAAAGTGTTTACACATTGTATATTATTTCCAATGTTTTATTACATTTATTTCATTATTCAGCTCAGTATTATTTTTATTATGTTCTAAATATACAATTAGTCCTCTTGGACCCACCCATTTTTGCCTAAATAAGACGTATGATGGCTGGAAAAGGTGTCTCTGTGGACACCGACCAAGATCTTTGCACAAAGCATGAACTTCATAGCCACAGTGACAATCATCATGGATCTCTGAAAAACTGCTTGAATAAACAGAACATCTCTTTGAAAATTAACCCCTGACCTCCATCAACTAAGGCAAACCCCTTGGCTATGGTGTGCTGTAAACATTTTTATTTATCCTTTATTGTAATCAATCGTTTTCAAAGCTATATGAAGCTGAGCTTTTACAAAACAAGTATTTAAAGATATATAAAACACAAGCAATAGCAATATGATAAGACTGGCCGTACTTACAGCAGACTGACCATTTGCATCCGTAACATAAACAATTGACTTGATTTCCTATGATTCAAAAATATAAAAACCAACATTATAACTTCACTGAAACAGAAGACATGACATGCCTTTTGGAAGATTCACAAATCTATGTAATCATTCTCATACTGTTATTTTTTAAACTGTGCCATCACCACAATGCAGGTGGGCTGCAGGGCCCCAGCTGCTCTGACTTTAGTGAATGGTGCATGTTGAGTTAGGGCCTTAATCTCGTCCCCTGCACAATCTTTGTACCATTGTCCAAGGGTAACTTGGGGGGGGGGGGGGGGAGACTGCTTTTGAATCAAATCCTGATACGCCGAGGATCACATATTCTAACATAAACTCACTAACCTCTAAGCTAGAGCCACAATACTAATTGAGCTGTTTGTTAGTTATTCAGTTTAATAATCACATTCTAAAAAATCAGATGTGCATACATGATTGTAACCGACTCACAGAGCATGTTCAGAAAGGTGGAGACAGGCATGCTCTGCAGAGAGTGGCAAGCATCACTTCAGAGGTCCCAGGTAGTTAGCATCCTTTGGATATTTCCCCTGGTTATGCTGGTGTGTAGGGAAACAAGCAGGCAGACAGACTGGCTGTTTCTGCACCACTTGGTGGTGAACTGATGTATGACAAGCTAGATGTTGTGAGGGCCCTTTGGGAGCCAGTAAACAGTGAGGAGGCACAGATTGATTATTAGGTCTGAGGAGAATGTCGCTGCCAGGAGTTACCAGGGGGTCTGGCTGACACTCAACACTTAGGGGAAAGACTGATATACAATCAGACAGCTACTGGTGCCTTCAGAATTGGAACTCTTGGCTTGCTGCTGAAGATGGGGGGGGGGGGAGAGAAAGCACTTGTGGCAGTGTCCCAAGTGCTATGATGATGATTCTTAATTCAATATCATCAAATTCATGTTACCCATCCATATAATCACTGTACAAAAAGTGGTGATATTTACAGTTCCTACTCAAAGATACAATAAAACAAGGAGTGAAGTATCATTGTGGCAGTGATAAGTGCTGCCTACTAGACTAGTTGTCCAAGGTGCAGACCCCATCATTACTTTATTATTTGTACATAGGTAATGGCAATCTATATCAAATGTACCTGCATTCATTGTGGAAGAATTTTTCTTCATGCAAGATGCTTCTTGCTAGACAACTTGACTTCACCATGGGCTGTGATTCCTGTTTCCCTAAATCACAATGGAACACAATTGCCTGTCCCTGTGTGGGCTCTAAGGCCCAATTTGTGGGGAAAACAAGAAAAGATCCACTGCCTTCCTAACAAGCAAGTCATAAGAGTCGACTAAATGGGGTGTTTTTCCTTCAAAGTCGGAGTGTATCTGCCCGAGAGGCACAGAACCAACAGTCTGCATTCAAATAAGCCAGATCTGTAAAACACGCACTCAGGTCCTGGAACAAAGCCAAAGTCCAGATATGGACAAACCACCAGGTCTTTCTGCCAGGGTTTACAGCCGGCAAACAACTATTGCCTGGAAAGATGCTAAGAAAGGCAATCTAGTGACAGATAATTCTATAAATTTTCAACACACTTTCTATATTGTTATGATGTTGTTGTTTTTTTTATTTCCCCCCAACAGGATTGCATTCTGTAGGATTACCATCTCATAAATGAAAAACAAACAAAAACTAATCCTAGAAACCTTGACTATAATACAGTTATACTGCGGTACCATACAGTTGTGAAGAAACCTGTGGTTCTTCTTGTTTGTGTTCACCGGCTGTAAATGACAAAGGAAAGTTCTGGTTGTTCATCCACTTCTGGACTCTGATCTTGTTCCAGACCCTGAATGTTGCATGCACATTCGTTTTACAGATCTGACTTGTCTGTATGGTGATTGCTGAATATTTACCATGGTGATTGCTGAATATTTACCGCTCACGTAGATGGTCTAGTACTTCGAAGGAAGCCCCCATTGAGTTGACTATTAGGACATGTTTGTTGGGGAGGCAGTGGGTCTGTTCTTGCTTTCCCCACAATGGGACCCTGGAACCCACAAAGGGATACCTGTAGTTCAATCCGGATGTTATATGTCTTTGTATTTACCAAGCATATAATCGCTTTACATAGAGCTACAGGATGGTTATGCTACATTCCTCCCTTTGGAAATCAAATTCATCCTTTTGCAATTATAATTCACCCTTTTGAAAATCAAATTCAACCTTGCAACAAAATGTTTAAAAACAACCAGTCTTTGTGTCTTATTTTTATTAAAAAAGCATTAAAAAACCTATTTGTTGTAGAAATCTGATCTGCCAAATGCTGAATTGGATTACAAAAGGTTGACTTTGATTTGCAAAAGGCTGAATATGATTTGAAACAGCTGGAATTGTTTATGCAAAAGGTCTGATTTACAAAAGGCTGACTTTGATTTGAAACTGGTGAATATGATTTGTAAAAGAATAAATGTGGCCAGCAAATCCCATATTTCCATAAACCACAAGCAAAGTGAATGCTATTTCTAAATAAAGGTCCTACTTCTACATTTAGAGATGTATAAGGCATATAGTTATACCCCACTGTTCCCCCTAACAGACATGTCATAAAGGCTGATTAATTAGGGTTGCATCTCCCTGAGAAGAGAGGAACCAACAGTCTGCATACAAAAAATGTTAGATCTGTAAAACAAATGTGCAGGCCAAACTCCAGTTCTGGAATTAGACCAAAGTCCAGAAGTGGATAAACAACCAGAACTTTTCTACCAGAGTTTACAGCCGGTGTAGACAAAGAAGAAGAAGAGTGATAACTCCTAATTTGCATGTGCCAGTTGGCACTCAATTGCCGCAGTTGTGAGTATCACACTGTCACTTTTAATTCCCAGGGTAATCCCTGGTACCTATGTTTAGCTGTGTCAACTAGAAATCCTGGGCAAATTTTAATCATCTGCCTTGATGAGGATTCAAACTTATGACAATGGGCTCACAGGCAATTATGCTAACAACTGTACTATGGGGATAAGTGAAAGCAGTCATCATCTCCCTACTCACACAGTTGTCCCGAAACACAGATCAGCACACTGCTCTTATCTTCTTCCATTGGACGGACCAAACCATCCAAGTATTTATCTTTTTGTCTTTCCCTTGCTTTCTTTCCATCAAGCTTGCCAGTTACCATCAAGTTTTTAAGTTTATTTTTTTTTCTATAAACTGTTTACAAAATAATCAGTCTACATATTATTTCTCTAACCCCCATATACACACACTAATAACATGCTTACAATTTCCGTTTCAAAGTCTAGTAACTTCTTTAAGGTTACAGTGCCATTTATTGGGTCAACTGCAAAAAATTCTCCACCATTGTCACGGATTTCGTAGGAGATGCCGTTACCAGTAGCTACAACCCGTCCCAGAACATAACCTGTGATTTGACAAAACAGTGGTCAGTAACATTGTTTTAAATAAATGAGATGCATTACTACAGTTTATATATATTACTGAAGCACAAAACATGAGTGTGTACACATCAAACAACATTAAAACTAATACTAAACTTCAAATTGTTTGTTCTAATGTCAACTAAGTCCTGATGTACGGAGTGGAAACATGGAGAACAACTAAAACAATAAATAATACAAACGTTCATTAACTTGTACCTGCGCAGAACAGCAAGGATTAAATGGTATGATAAAATCCCTGATGTTGAGCTTTGGGAGAAAATAAAATGGTATGATAAAATCACTGATGTTAAGCTTTGGGAGAGAATTAAATGGTATGATAGAATCACTGATGTTGAGTCTTGGGAGAGAATTAAATGGTATGATAAAATCACTGATGTTAAGCTTTGGGAGAGAATTAAATGGTATGATAGAATCACTGATGTTGAGTTTGGGAGAGAATTAAATGGTATGATAAAATCACTGATGTTGAGCTTTGGGAGATAAATGGTATGATAGAATCACTGATGTTGAGCTTTGGGAGATAATTAAATGGTATTAATGGTATGATAGAATCACTGATGTTGAGCTTTGGGAGATAATTAAATGGTATGATAGAATCACTGATGTTGAGCTTTGGGAGAGAATTAAATGGTATGATAGAATCACTGATGCTGTGCTTTGGGAGAGAATTAAATGGTATGATAGAATGACTGATGTTGAGCTTTGGGATATAATTAAATGGTATGAATGGTATGATAGAATCACTGATATTGAGCTTTGGGCGATAATTAAATGGTATGAATGGTATGATAGAATCACTGATGTTGAGCTTTGGGAGATAAATGGTATGATAGGATCACTGATGTTGAGCTTTGGGAGATAATTATATGGTATGATAGAATCACTGATATTGAGCTTTGGGAGAGAATTAAATGGAATGATAGAATCACTGATATTGAGCTTTGTGAGAGAATTAAATGGTATGATAGAATCACTGATGTTGAGTTTAGGAGAAAATTAAATGGTATGAAAGAATCACTGATGTTGAGCTTTGGGAGAGAATTAAATGGTATGATAGAATCACTGATGTTGAGCTTTGGGAGATAAATGGTATGATAGAATCACTGATGTTGAGCTTTGGGAGATAAATGGTATGATAGAATCACTGATGTTGAGCTTTGGGAGAGAATTAATGATATGATAGAATCACTGATGTTGAGCTTTGGGAGAGAATTAAATGGTATAAATGGTATGATAGAATTACTGATATTAAGCTTTGGGAGAGAATTAAATGGTATGATAGAATCACTGATGTTGAACTTTGGGAGAGAATTAAATGGTATGATAGAATCACTGATGTTGAGCTTTGGGAGAGAATTAAATGGTATGATAGAATCACTGATGTTGAGCTTTGGGAGATAAATGGTGTGATAGAATCACTTATATTGAGCTTTGGTAGAGAATTAAATGGTATGATAGAATCACTGATGTTGTGCTTTGGGAGAGAATTAAATGGTATGATAGAATGACTGATGTTGAGCTTTGGGATATAATTAAATGGTATGAATGGTATGATAGAATCACTGATATTGAGCTTTGGGAGATAATTAAATGGTATGAATGGTATGATAGAATCACTGATGTTGAGCTTTGGGAGATAAATGGTATGATAGGATCACTGATGTTGAGCTTTGGGAGATAATTATATGGTATGATAGAATCACTGATATTGAGCTTTGGGAGAGAATTAAATGGAATGATAGAATCACTGATATTGAGCTTTGTGAGAGAATTAAATGGTATGATAGAATCACTGATGTTGAGTTTAGGAGAAAATTAAATGGTATGAAAGAATCACTGATGTTGAGCTTTGGGAGATAAATGGTATGATAGAATCACTGATGTTGAGCTTTGGGAGATAAATGGTATGATAGAATCACTGATGTTGAGCTTTGGGAGAGAATTAATGATATGATAGAATCACTGATGTTGAGCTTTGGGAGAGAATTAAATGGTATAAATGGTATGATAGAATTACTGATATTAAGCTTTGGGAGAGAATTAAATGGTATGATAGAATCACTGATGTTGAACTTTGGGAGAGAATTAAATGGTATGATAGAATCACTGATGTTGAGCTTTGGGAGAGAATTAAATGGTATGATAGAATCACTGATGTTGAGCTTTGGGAGATAAATGGTGTGATAGAATCACTTATATTGAGCTTTGGTAGAGAATTAAATGGTATGATAGAATCACTGATGTTGAGCTTTGGGAGAGAATTAAATGGTATGATAGAATCACTGATGTTGAGCTTTGGGAGATAAATGGTATGATAGAATCACTGATATTGAGCTTTAGGGGAGAATTAAATGGTATGAAAGAATCACTGATGTTGAGCTTTGGGAGATAAATGGTATGAAAGAATCACAGATGTTGAGCTTTGGGAGAGAATTAAATGGTATGATAGAATCACTGATGTTGAGCTTTGGGAGAGAATTAAATGGTATGAATGGTATGATAGAATCACTGATGTTGAGCTTTGGGAGATAAATGAAATGATAGAATCACACTGGTGGTGAGCTTTGGGAGAGAATTATATGGAATGATAGAATCACTGATATTGAGCTTTGGGAGAGAATTACATGTTATGATAGAATCACTGATATTGAGCTTTGTTAGATAATTAAATGGTATGATAGAATCACTGATGTTGAGCTTTGGGAGATAAATGGTATGATAGAATCACTAATGTTGAGCTTTGGGAGATAAATGGTATGATAGAATTACTGATGTTGAGCTTTGGGAGAGAATTAAATGGTATGATAGAATCACTGATGTTGAGCTTTGGGAGATAAATGGTATGATAGAATCACTGATGTTGAGCTTGGAGAGATAAATTGTATGATAGAATCACTGATACTGAGTTTGGTGAGAATTAAATGGTATGATAGAATCACTGATGTTGAGTTTGGGAGAGAATTAAATGGTATGATAGAATCACTGATGTTGAGTTTAGGAGAGAATTAAATGGTATGATAGAATCACTGATGTTGAGCTTTGGGAGAGAATTAAATGTTATGAAAGAATCACTGATGTTGAGCTTTGGGAGAGAATTTAATGTTATGAAAGAATCACTGATGTTGAGCTTTGGGAGAGAATTTAATGGTATGATAGAATCACTGATGTTGAGCTTTGGGAGATAAATGGTATGATACAATCACTGATGTTGAGCTTTGGGAGGTAAATGGTATGATAGAATCACTGATGTTGAGCTTTAGGAGATAAATGGTATGATAGAATCACTGATGTTGAGTTTTGGGAGAGAATTAAATGGTATGATAGAATCATTGATGTTGAGCTTTGGGAGATAAATGGTATGATAGAATCACTGATGTTGAGCTTTGGGAGAGAATTAAATGGTATGATAGAATCACTGATGTTGAGCTTTGGGAGATAAATGGTATGATAGAATCACTGATATTGAGCTTTGCTCGCCCTGTGATGGACTCTCAGGCAGGAGCAGTGCCGGGCCCTCTGCCTCGAAGAGGCCCAACCCAAATTACTGGAGGTCCTTCTCAAATGTCCTGTGGAGCCAGGGGACGTGAGAATAGAGCATCTGGCCGAACTAAGAAAGGAGTCAAACTAATGCACTGGAATGCAGAGGGGATTACAAATAAAAAGCTAGAGTTAGAAAATATTCTAAATGAGGAACAGATTCATATATGCTGTCTACAGGAAACCCACCTCACTGAAGACACAGTCTTCAAAATCAGAGGTTATCAGTGCTTCCGATCAGACCGGAAAGGCAGGAAAAAGGGTGGAATATTGACTCTTGTGAGGAACAATATCACTGCGTGCCAGACTGAAGTATATATGGATGGAGCAGAATATCAGATTCTGAAACTACAAACTGGAAATGCAGACTTCTACCTGCTCAATTATTACTGCCCAAGTGATCGTCCCCAGGCATTAGACACAATCCCAGTGGAAGAAAAGATGATTCTATGTGGAGACTTTAACAGCCACTCACAAAGCTGGGGATATGACCATATAGACCAGAGAGGAGAGAAACTGGAGGAGTGGCAGGATGAGAACAGATTTGTTCTTATTATTAGGCCAACTGATCCACCCACATTCTACTCGAGGTCGTGGCACACCACTACTACCCCAGACCTAGCATTTCACTCTCCAGATCTGGAATGGAACATTACACGAGTTGTTGGAAATCAACTGGGAGGCAGTGACTATCGACCGGTCTTCCTGAATGTAGAAAATGAGAAGGTCAGAGAAACTAGTACGCTGCCAAGGTGGAACTACAAGAAGGCTGACTGGACAATGTTCAAGCACCGTACCAGTATACTGCTTGGAAGTCTCAGCGTAGACCAGGATATAAACAAAGTAGTTAAAGAATTTAACAAATGCGTACTAAAGGCAGCAGGAGAATCAATACCAAGAGGTGCCCGTAAGCATTATAAGCCATACTGGAGCTAGAAAATTTACATAACGTAGAAACATCCAGAAAGATAGCAGAGACCAGGCCAAACCAAGAACATCACAATAACTACCAGCATGCAAAAGCAAAATTTGTAAGGGCAAAGCTGCAGGTTAGAAGGGAAAGCTGGCAGGAGAAAACAAGGTCGTGGACTTTGAAAAAGACACAAGAAAGTTATGGAAGCTTGTGAAACAAATTAATGATGAGGACACAGGGTGGAACTCAAAGATCACGCTGCAGAAAGATGGAAACATGGTCACAGGAAAAGAGGCAGCCAACCTATTTGTGGACACTTTTGCTTTAGATAACGATATTGAAATCAGTTCAGAGAAAAAACACGGAATTCAAGAAAAGACACAATTTAGAAGTCAGAAAGAAATAACATCAGAGGCGCTAGAGGTGCCAATTACACTTAATGAACTGGAGTTGGCCATTTCAAAGCTGAAAATGCGGAAGTCACCAGGAGCAGATGGTATATCAAACGAAATGATCAGAAACTTAGGAAAAGTAGCCAAAATAAAGCTTTTACAGATATTTAATGCTTGCTGGGCAACAGGGAATGTTCCACAGATCTGGAGAGAGGCAATTATGATACCCCTCATAAAGCCTGGGAAAGACAGTTCTAATGCCTCCAACTACAGACCAATCAGCCTCACAAGTTGTCTCTGTAAAACAATGGAGCGCATCACCAACCTCAGACTACAGTGGTACATTGAAAGTGAAAACATCATTACACCACAGCAGGCTGGCTTTAGAAAGTTCTATTCTATGGAAGACCAGACAACATATCTCTCCCAAGAAATAGAGGATGCTTTTCAAGATAAGAAACTGGTACTCGCGGCATGGATAGATTTAAGAAAAGCTTTTGATAAGGTTTGGAAGGAGGGGCTTTTTGAAGAAATTGAGAAACTATAAAATAAATGGAAAAATGTACAATTGGATTAAAGCATATCTACATAACAGAAGAGCCCGGGTACAGGTAGATGGTTTTAAAAGTAAAAAAGTTCTACTGCGGCAAGACGTCCCTCAAGGTGGTGTCCTGTCGCCCACACTTTTCCTTTTATTTATCAACGATCTGGTTGCTGAGATACCAAATGGAATCAAAATGGCAATGTATGCCGACGACCTGGTACTGTGGTGCACCAATGAACATGCAACAATAGCCACAAAAACACTACAGCGGGCTACAAATGCACTTGAGGCATGGGCCAATAGATGGTGTGTCAGCATCAACACAGACAAATGTAGCACCACACTATTCACCCTCTCCCCAAAGCAAAAAGCTGGCACCATCAAAATAAACGAAATACCCCTGAGAGATGATAAAGAGCCCACATACCTAGGAGTCACATTTGATGACAGGTTGACATGGAGAAAACATATCAACAAGGCAGCAACCAAAGCCAGGAGGAAGACAGCAATTCTAAGAAAACTAAGTGGAACCACATGGGGAGCAGATGGGAAAATACTCAATAAAGTATACAAGCAAAGCATACTTCCACACTTGGAATATGGGTCAACTGCATGGTGTTCAGCATCTAGTACCACATTAAAGGAGTTAGACAAAGTGCAAAATCAAGCGCTCAGAGTCATCACAGGAGGGATGAAATCAACCCCCATATTAGAAATGGAGAAAGCTGGGAAAACACAGGCACTGAGAGGATGCAGAGATACAAAGTTGCAAATACAAGCTGAAAAGTTCCTCTGTATGCCAGATCACCCGATGGAAAATAGATTTAAGAACCTAGCCTTGGGACGGTTAAAAAGAAGCAGCTTTATACACCAAGCAAAAAGAATATGTAGACAAACTCCTGACCTTCCAGAAATTGGCTGCCCACTTAAAAGTATTCCGGAACAAACCCCATGGAGAGAAAAATGTAAACTAATGGTACAAATCCAGACAAATGTGAAAGGGATATTTGACAAGAAAGAGCAAGATAGTGTACAACGCAAAATGGCCACCCTCAGTTATATTGATGAAGAATACCCACAAGAACAATGGGTCAGAGTCTATACAGATGGGTCCGCAGAAAGTGCAGTTAGAAATGGTGGTGCTGGAGTGTACATCGAATTCCCAGATGGTACTAGGGATAAGTCTAGCGTACCAACCGGGAAGTACTGCCATAACTACGATGCAGAAACCCAGGCTATCAAGATAGCTACAGAGAAACTGCTAAATACCAACCTTGGCTCACAGTATGTGGTAATGCTTACAGATGCTAAATCAGTACTTGAAGCACTCCAGTCTAGGAAACTACCAGAATTGCAAACACTGCTGACACAACTCAGCGTTCAGCGAAGAGTCGTAATGCAGTGGATACCGTCTCATTGTGGAGTGCCTGGAAATGAGAAAGCTGATCAACTGGCAGGGGAAGGTGCGACAAAAGAGCAGCCAGATGTACCAGTCACATACCACCAAAAGAAAAGAATCATTAAATCGATCAGGAAACCACCAGCCCCTGCACAAGACGACTATTTTATTATGGACAGACCAGAACAAGTCATTATCCTCCGCCTCAGAACAGGGCACAACCGATTACGTAACCACATGTACACAAAATTCAAGATAGGTGTATCAGCCATGTGCACCTGTGGAAATGTGCCCCAGACCGCAGAGCATGTACTCCAGGACTGCACCAATTTTGACACATTAAGGCAAACCTTTTGGCCAGAAAGAACAACAGTGGAACGTAAACTCTATGGACCACTGAATGAACTAACAACGACAGTGAAATTTATACAAGAGACAAAACTGCTGATATAGATAACTTTTTTCAGGCGAACGAAAGAAGAAGAAGAAGACTGATGTTGAGCTTTGGGAGATAATTAAATGGTATGAATGGTATGATAGAACCACTGATGTTGAGCTTTGGAAGAGAATTATATGGTATGATAGAATCACTGATGTTGAGCTTTGGGAGATAAAGGGTATGATAGAATCACTGATGTTGAGCTTTGGGAGATAAATGGTATGATAGAATCACTGATGTTGAGCTTTGGGAGATAAATGGTATGATAGAATCACTGATGTTGAGCTTTGGGAGATAAATGGTATGATAGAATCACTGATGTTGAGCTTTGGGAGATAAATGGTATGATAGAATAACTGATGTTGAGCTTTGGGAGATAAATGGTATGATAGAATCACTGATGTTGAGCTTTGGGACAGAATTAAACAAATTCAAATGAATCAAGAGGTGAAGAAGAATTGCTGGCACTGGACAGGACACACACTGAGAAACCTGAGAACAATATAACTAAAATGCCTTTGGACTGGAATCCATAGATCAGAGAAATAAAGACAGACCCCCCACACACACAAAACCATGGAGAAGAGAGCTAGAGAGAAAATGAAAGGCAGGGATGACAGGGGGTAAGTCATATGCAAAGCAAAGGATAGGATGACTTGGTTTAAGTTGATTGAGAGCCTATGCTCCACTGGATAACAAAAAGAAGAAGAAGAAGAAGAAGAAGAAGAAGAAGAAGAAAAGACAGTACAAACATCTTGCTTTTTAGAGCATAGGATCATGTCATTCTATCAGCCAAGTTCTCTATATTAAAAAGTAAACGCATACATTAAAATTGTCTTTTTGCAAAGCAACCCCTGCAGTTATCTGCTGTTGATGGTTTTTCTAAACAATTTTACATATTAGTAGTTGCCATTGGTTTCAGCAGTTGTACTATTTGCAGAGTCAATACAAAGCAGTCTGCTTCCAAATCACAAGAAGCTGACTTTAAACCTCAACCTGTTGGAATTGTGAAACTGGGCTCCCAACCTAGGCCACGGACACTCTAGCAAGACACACTGTTAATATGAGGATGCAAGACAGCCTAGTATCTGTTCTTTTTGTCATCCTCTATCTGTTTTTATATGGTTTCAACCAGATAATACATTATATTAGGGATAGAAGCCACACAATGCCATGCCTTCAGACTAACTTGGCAAATGATCTAGCCCCAAATCTTTATAGGAATAGACTTCAGAACTTGGTGACAACTGGCAAGAATGGTGGAAAGAGAGCAAAGGGAAGGCAAAGGAATAAATATCTGAATGGCTCAGAGATGCTGATAGAGGTGAGACAACAACATTGATCTGATCCATGATTCTAGTGATTGTGTGAGAAGGGGAAACATGAGTTTACACCTGTCAGCGCCACACATGATGATGATGATATTTATAGCTGTTACCGCATCTTAGTACACTTGATTCTGCAGTGAGGAACATCGAAGATGAAGAGTGAGTTGCAAAAAACAAAATTAATCATCTGTTTAAATCACCATTGATAACTGACATCATGAGAGCTAAAAGACTGAAATGGTTGGAGCAGAGAAGTGAAAATTGTATACACATAGGAAATGAATGGTCGCAGACCCCAAGGCAGACCAAGAAGACGATGGAGAGATAGTATCCAGACAGACCTGCAAACACTTGGCGACACCAACTGGAAACAGAAGGCTAACCAGAGAGATGAATGCAGGCGGGTGATATCTGCAGCAATGAACCTCAAGGGCTCAGAATGCTGAAGAAGAAAAAGAAGTGTATTCTTTCTTTCTACTTCTTTCAATATGTGCAGATCAATACATATTTGTTTGTTTATTATATATAATATTTATTTGGCCTCAAAAGTTCCCCATCTGTTTATCTATGCATATTTATAGACAAACAAACCCTCAATTAACGATCGAATATTAGATATTCTTAAAAATTCAACAGTCACAGAGCAGCTAACAAGTCCAACACTAACTATTACACATGGATCAAGTTTTTCTTTTTCTCTAGGGCCTCGATTTTTTCACGTGGACTTGGACTTCTAGTAATTCCCCCTGGTCTCTGGGCAATGAGATCGGACGCTGTGTGCACTGTTTCGCACATTTAAAAAAATCCCTTTGCAGTTGGAAATCGAAAAGAGTAGCCTAACGGGCAAAATTTGGAGTTAAAAATCTACCCAAAAGTATTCAGGATCCTAGCTGTTGCTACAGAGCCTGTGCAGAGCTTCTTCAGACTCAGACTTGAGTTAGAAGAAGAATGGAGCACTTATGGGTTATTACCCGTGTGCCATGATGCTGATCTGTTGTTCAAAGCTCAAACCTTCTTTTTCTTCTTCTTCTGTGCTTGCCCTTACAACAACTGCTGGCACATTGTGTTGTGGCTCTCAGATATACTGAGATTGCATCTTTCACAAACCTAATTTTAACAAACCCTAATTATTAGTCACCTATTATGACATAAAGTTGGTGAGAGGAGGGGTCTGAATTGATCTTTACCCCCTCCCCCCCCCCTTTCCCCCCTGCCCATATACACACACACCCAAAATATAGCCATGAAACCCATATAAGTTATAAAAGTTACAATAACTGTGACTGCTCATAACTTACCAAGGGGAAGATCCTCTCGCAGATACTGGTTATCAATTGCTGAGACATCAGTTATGGTTGGGTAAGATCTCTGAGTCAAGCTGAAATCAACTGAAATTTAGAAAAGAAATATATGAACAATAAATGACTACTCATCAGACACAATGAACAGTGTGTTTGAAAAAAAAATATTATCAAGCAAATAAATCTGTTTCTAACCAGTACAGCTAAGGGTCAGCCAAAATCTTGTAAAAGATGACAGATCATTTTCACAATTTCTGGATTAAAGAATTGGGCTCTACTGGCAAATTTGGCCGGTAAGCTGGACTGCTTCGGCCGGCTTAGCGGGGCTTAGTGGGAGTTGTGTCCCTTGGCCAAACTCAAAACAAGTCGCGGAAAAAGTCACGAATCAAAAGGCATACTTACCTATCATCATCCGGGTGCGTGTAGGGTTGCGTAGGGTGTCTATCATCGTCCTAGGGTTGCGTGTAGGGCTGCTTATTGCGTGTAGGGTTGTTTGTTTGCGTAAGATAGATGTGGGGTAGGGTTAGGGTTAGCGTTTAGGGGTTAGGGTTTGGGTTCAGGTTTAGGGTTAGGGTTTAGAGTTAGGGTTTAGGGTTAGGGTTTAGGGTTTAGGGTGTAGGGTTAGGGGTTAGGGTTAGGGGTTACGGTTAGGGGTTAGGGTTAGGGTTTAGGGTTAGGTGTAGCGTTAGATGTGACAATTGTGACGCCGTAGTTCCCTACAATCGCGCACAGTCGCATGCACGCGCAAACAGTCGAGGGACGGTGGATGCTACTGACACAAACAATTCGCCACCGATTGGGCACCAGCTGCCGCGCGCTATTGCCGTCATATTTGGCACACTTCCAGTGGCGCCACTCCCACAAGTATCAGATTGTCGGCCAGTATTTCCACTTCCTACGTGAATATTTTCACATCATCTAACCCTAACCCTACCCCTAACCCTAACCCTACCCCCTAACCCTCCCCCTAACCCTACCCCAACCCTACCCCTAACCCACACCCCTAACCCTACCGCTAACCCAAACCCTACGCAACCCTACACGCAACCGTATGATGATGATGATAGACACCCTACGCATCCCTACACGCAACTGTATGATGATGATAGACACCCTACGCAGCCCTACGCGCAACCGTATGATGATAGGTAACCCTAGACGCAACCCTACGCAGCCCTACACGCACCTGGATGATGATAGGTAAGTATGTCATTTGATTCGTGACTCTTTCCGCGACTTGTTTTGAGTTTGGCGAAGGGACGCGAAGGGACATAACTCCCACTAAGCCCCGCTAAGCCGGCCGAAGCAGTCCAGCTTACCGGCCAAATTTGCCAGTAGAGCCAAGAATTGGTATATGTGTGTAAAAATATAGTGTGCATGTATGTGTATGTAAATATATATATATATATATGTGTGTGTGTGTGTGTGTGTGTGTGTGCGTGAAGAAAACAAATGTATGTATAATCAGCATGTTGGGGGACTGAACAGCATCTACATCGTAAGATATTTGCTGTGGGAGATGGAGCATCTATGGGTATGCCTGGTGTGCACTGGTGTTGATTCTTAAATTAGTAATCTATACATAAGGCAGAACTGATTAAAGTAGCAAATGAAGTAAAAGTATAATGTACTGTGTAGAAAAGGTTTATGTGAATTCCCCACAATGGTCTCCATTAATAAAACTAAACATTTTATCCCAAATATTTAAAACACATGTCTTCTGGAATACAAGCAGGCGATAAAACTAACAAATACTGTTAAAAATGCAGACACACGTGCAACTAACCATAAAGAAAACAATGCCATCTACAGAAATGTTTTTTGAGCAACTGTACTATATCTTACTATCAAACTGTGTTTATGAACAAATGTGTATTTTTGAACAAATGTGTATAAATTTTCAATGTTTATATTAATTAACTGACCATCAGACATAAACAAACCATTGAAATTCACATTATCTGGGCAGCAGTACAATAGCTAAACAATATTCGACAACATAATCTCTTATATATTAGATACTTATCAACACGACTGTCAAAGAATGCCTAATGTAACACAAAATGTGACTAGAAAGCTCAACGGAGGGAATGGAAATGAGGCACACAAACACAACCGGTTGTTTCGAGTCACCCCCAATTTACGTCATTCGAAACATTCAGCAGCGTTTGTGTGCATCATTTCCATCCCTCTGTTGAGCTTTCTAGTCACAAATCATGTTATATTTAGCACCTCCTGCAATCAACTCAACTGCAGTCACCCCCTATTTATGTCATCATTCCGATTCCTTTTGAGAAAAAAATTAAAAGTTCAACCACTTTCAGACTGCTGCTAGCTAGCCAAAGCTGTTAACAGTCTCCATCTATATTTGTGGTCTGGATTACTTGTGAAACTTTCGTGACTAAAGTTTTAGTGTTTGCGCCGTCTCAGGGCTCGATGCTTCCTTCCTTAGAGTCAGACTGCTCGTTCTCTGCCCTTTTGTTAGCTCTGTTCTTCTTGCCTTTACTTTCCAGGTGTCTCCTCCTTGGTTTCAGCTCCCTCTGATTTGGCCAGGCGTATTTTGTAGGAGAGCGAGCTTCTATACCTAACATCCTTTGGACCAACATTTACAGTTAAAAAATTTTGAGTATTTTACTTTGCCAAAAAGTACTGAAATCAGTTTTTGGTTTTGGATAGATCCGAAATGTGATAGTATTTTGCTTATATGTCATCTTAACTGACAAAGACTTATAAATATACATTTGTGAAAAGCCTTCTGTTTGTTACAACATGTATTAAAAGTTTGATCATCTTGGCAACTGTTGGAATTTTCTATCATCAGAGATCAAAAGGGTGAGAAAAATATTTAAAGCATAGTGTCAGGAATTAAGTAGGCACAATTTCAGCATTGAATTACCTGGACAGACAGCAAGCAGATGGTTTGATTACAGCAAGACCACCCCCAAATAACATACTCCTCATGGTACTTATATTTAAGATGGAAACAAAGCCAGGCGCAAGAAGCGGTTTTAATAAACAGATTAGCATAATGGTAAAGGCAATATGTAGCAACACTTTATTCAAAACTCATGCAAAGCTTTTGTCCAGAAAATGGTTCCTAGTGAGAAGATACAATGGGTAAGAGGGAACAGTAGTTGAAAGAAGAGTTAGATAAATGTTAAAACTGCCTACCCAATTAGCATCACAATCTGAATGTATATAAATTCAAGCCAACCATTCCACTGCATTCAAACCTCTCTCTCTCTCTCACACACATGCAAAATCGTTCCTAGTGAGAAGATACAATGGGTAAGAAGGAACAGTAGTTGAAAGAAGAGTAAGATAAATGTTAAAACTGCCTACCCAATAAGCATCACAATCTGAATGTATATAAATTCAAGCCAACCATTCCACTGCATTCAAACCTCTTTCTCTCTCTCACACACACATGCAGATTAGCACAGCTAAAATACCCACCCATGATCAGCAACAGAATCAGGTGTGACAAACACATGACTGTCATGGTGGAACCACAGTGGCCAGCCTGGTAAACAAATATACAGAATGCGTTACTTATAGATGACTTTACTTCTAGCATTTCACATGCATTAATTGTCATGTAGTTCTCGCTCAAAATCTCAAAATGTCACCAGCCACTTTCAGCAGTTTGCACTTCCTTTTTTTTTCCTTATTCAGTGTTCTCCAGTATTTGTTCTTTTTTTTTTTTAGTTGTTGTTGGTGTTCAAACACATTTTCTGTTCACAGAAGATCCATAACATGTGTGTCTATGAGCAGAGGCAATCTGTTTAATCAGCATTTGTGGAATAGGTTTATTCATGGTTTGATATGTCTTCAGTACTCATCTAAACCTCATTAATGAAAACTGGAAACTCTCTGATAGGTTCATATTGTCGGCAACAATACTATTTTTAAAGGGTGATGTGGTTTGTAGGAAACTGGCAGCCTTTAAATGGTATCCATTTTATGAGCCTTGGTCTAACCAGTTATGTTAACGTCATGTATGGCCTGTACGACTATGAAGTGTTGGGAATCTGTGGACGAACTACTATGCTTCCATATCATCTCAGGTTATAAAGATGGGATAAATGGAATAACAGTGCTTCCAGCGCATCCCTCAGCTATACTATCTCAGGCAAATAGACTGGCTGGATCTGCACTATTGGGTGGTGAATTGATACATGAGAAGACAGATGTGGTCAATGCCCTTTGGGAACAAGCAACGGAATCAGTAGAGAAACAAGATTATTATGGCCTGGAGAGAGTGAGGCACTTGGGTGTAACCAGAGGGTCTGGACAGATCACTACACTCAGAGGAAAGGCAAGACGGACAAATAACCAGATTGTGACTGGTACCATCAGTATTGGAACTCTGTGATGGCTGCACAAGATGAGGACAGAGCACACATGGGAATGCCCTGAGTGCTGTGATGCCAATTCTTGACTCAACTCTAGATTTATAAACTCTTCATTTTGCTTTTCTAACTACTGTCTAAATGTGATCATTATAGGCATTATATGAAGTCATTAAATAAAATAAGGCCCTCCTCCGAGTCTAAACCGTTTTGTTTATAGACCAAATGGCATTTAAAGAGTACCTTTACATCCATGACATTGCCTGGAGCCTACTTAGCATGGGTTGATCCTGTTTTTCTTCTTCTCCTTCTTCTTTTTCATTTTCACAGGTTGTAAACTCCGGCAGAAGGTTCTGGTGGTAGGTCCACTTCTGGATTTTAGTCTTGTTCCAAAAAATGAGTTCTGCATGCACATATATTTTACAGAAATGGCTTGTTTGAATGCTGGTTCCTTGTCTTTCACGCAGACTCACTCAGACTCTGTTGAAAACACCCCTTATCCTATTCCCCCCCCCCCCCCCCCCAATGGGGCCCTAGAACCTATATATGGAGGAGCCTATTTGAGCAACAGACCAGGTCAATTTTAAAAATTCACCTTCGTCAGGATTCGAACCTATAACCACAGGTCTGGCAGGTAAGTGAACTAGCCACTGTACTATCACAAAGAAACATACAGAAAATATAGTTCCAAATATATATATATATGCTTATACAGTATATGACTTACACTGCTGTATTAACTAAGATTTTAACATCAACATAATGTCAGATAATGTTAAAAATTATCATTTTCATTACTGCTAAAATGTCCTGCATGAACATGCACTTGTTTGTCTACATCTTTATCTTTAGGGCTGTAACAGTGAGGTTGAGTAGTGATAATGATAACAAACCTGTATATCCATTTGAGTAGTGATAACGATAACAAACCTGTATATCCATATACTTGTTTATCTTGTACAACGTAAGCCTAAAAACTTTCTTATTTTATGTTTCAAGTAGAGAAAATATTTTATAAATTTAATAACAGAATTATGCAATAGCAAAATACCAATACATTCAGATAAATCGACTATGTCATATCAATTTGATGCCTATATCCATCGAGCAATGCGTGACCGCTGTCTTAGTATCAGAGATAAAGGAATGGTTTTCAAACAGCTTAATTACTGATCACTTATTTGTTAATCCTATCTTGTGAAGATTCAACGATGATTATGATGGTGAAGAAGGTATCCTGTAAATTAAAACAGGCGAATCACTTAAAGGTAACCGTACCATGTTCTTGGTTGATTTGTTTTCGTTTTACACACCCAAAGCCATGGAAGTAGACGAGCCCTGCAGGAATTACTAAACGACACTGAAAAGTGGTAAGCCTATTATTAGGCAACACATCAAACCGGTTTGACAACATTTGTACGTTCTGTCCCTCGTCTGCTTCAGTGAAAACAAATCGCGGACCACTCACAAACAACAACTCAAACATTATTATATGTCAAAGAAATACTTTATTTTTAAAAAAAAATATACATATTTACATACAAAATTTAGTTTGTGAAATGTTTTATGTTATTTTCATAGCTGCATTTTTAAAAACTATATGACAGTCTGTAATTAGCTTTTAACAATGTCATATTTTGCCGTTACATTCAGAAGTAGTTATTTTAACCTGGTCGATAACAGTTACCTTGGCGGTGCTCTATAAAATATGAATGCCTGGGTCTATTTTTGTACTTGTCGAACAGGTACCACCTTAGCCGGCTGTACACACCCGCGAATTACCGGCATGCAGCAGACTAAGTAATCTTCTATGACAGCTGTCGTGATCACCCCTGTTATAATTTTATGGATTTTTTGCTTTTTTAAAAATTTTATCGTTATCGTCATGTGTCTTGCCAATTAGCGTATGTGATTACACTTTACTCTTGACCGTTGTCGTCCTCTTTAAATTACCACATTGTGCCAACATGTCACATAGAACTCGCAGTCAATTCCTTCATTCCGTTCTATCTTGTGCAGTACTTCGATTACATAATTAGTGAACATTAAATTATTAATCCATCTTGTGAAGATGTAGTTACTGATAGTGGCCTTCAAATGCTGTCTTTCTGGGGGGGGGGGGGGCGCATGAAATCTTTCTATACCATGATACAAGACTCTCAAATCTTCTCTAGGAAATTGTTTCCTCATTAATCATAATAGTTCTTGGAGGTACACTAGCGCAATGATACGCTCGCTTATCTGCAAGGTATTCGCACGCTCGAATGCTCAGTGGGGCAGGAATATTTAAAAAGCGAACCTAGACGTCTAGTAGGAGCAGAAGTAGTTTTATATATTTTATTCAATTCTCAGGGTTATAATTGTGATATTATAACCCTAGGATTGAACAAACATAAAATTACAAGTGTCTCGTAAGCGTTTCACCCTCAGGTGATTATTTCCAGCATCTGCCTCCCGTAAGTTGTGGATTTTTCAGTGCATGTAAGATAGGCTATTAAAAAAAAATCACCGTGCATAAGCGCTATACATGTGAATTGAATACAAAACAATCTGCACACATGGATCAATTACTGTATATTCTATTGGCTAGGGGTATACACATTTTTAGTCAAATATTTTTTATGCCGCTTAATGGAACAGCAGCACCTGTGCAACTGTAAATTATAAAATTATAAGGACACTGGAAATCTAAGGCCATATGCAAATCTTCCCGTTGATCCGTACAAGATGTTTGGAGACATTTGTTAAAGTGTGGGGACATGACTTCAGACAAGCAGGATAGGAAGCCGCTTGCTGAAGGTGGCTCTCATTATGACCTTCCGGAAAGATTCTAGATTGTTCGCAAGTTTAACTTCTTGCCTTACCACGCTCTAGGTTCAAATACTTTAAATCTCTTCTTTAGAGATTGTGAAATGGTCCATACTTCAAGCGTATTCCCAGTGTGCGTTACGGGGTTCCACTGCGGGGAAATCAAGAATTTACCCACAGCCTACACGAAAGCATGTCGTAGGAGTCAACTAATTAGGATCTTCCTTCGAAGTTGGAGAGCATCTGACTGAGAGGCAAAGAACCAACAGTCTGCAAACATATGAATCGGATCTGTAAAATGAATTTCCACACAACACTCAGGAAAAGGACTTGGGTTCAACAGTGAACGAACAACCAAAACTTTCTGCTTGAGTTTACAGTCGATAAACGCGAAGAGGCAGAATATGTGTAAGCTGTAGGGCGCCAGATACCTGGCATTAAGTGGCGGTTGGAAAGAGCTGGCATCACAACAGTTTTCTCAATGCTCAGTCGCAGAAGTGGCTAGGTCACACACACTTCGAGGATGGAGGATAGTGATGTCCCTAAGGTCATCCTCTATGGTAAATTACAGACGGACAAAGCATGTCGAGGTCAGGCCGCCATTTGGAGAGAAAAAGAAAGGGGGGGGGGGGGCTAACTCTTTTGAAGTGGCAGCATGCCATCTGAAGGGATATCAATGAGTTTCATTCTGTCGAAGAAGTGAGAATGGCGCCACCCTACCAAAATTTGTATTTTGTAGTCTCGTCACACAAAGTAATAATTTATGTAAGTATACCCACTACATCTTTTTTAATACGACAAAAGATAATTTTTTTAGAGAGTGTGTGGTGTGTGTGTGTGCACTGCTGCAGCTCTTGCTAGTTACACTCAACATGGGATGTGATTCCTATGCCTACCAAAGCACAATATTTTTCTGGAAAAACGAAAAGGCGTCAACAACGTACGCAAGGTGGGCAGTACAGGCACTTTTTTTAAGCATCATTTTTTAAAGCGCTACTGAATAGACACTTTGTGGTGGATATCGGCACCTGTCCTTTCTTTCTGTAACAAGTTGCTGGTACTCACCGTTTATCTGTTTCTATTCTAAAGAGAGCCCTGGTATGTTGCCATAACGTGAGGTTGTTGTTGTTTGTCCATCACAAGTGATGAGGACCTCTCTTTCTTTCAATCGTCATGAAACTTTAACTGAGTTCCGCGAGTCCGGACGTGACTTATAAGCCCAATTCGGGCCCGGAAAGATCTAAGACAATGATGGCCGGAAACAGTGTGAATTATGAATAAAGTGATGAAAATGTGACAGGCGCGATGAATTGGTTTAAAGCAAGGAAGAGTTGCGAAATGCTGTCGACCTCGCTCTCTGGCCTTTATCCATCTGGACCCAGGGGCAGGACAATTCGAGACGACTGGAGATGAAATCAGGTGCGACAGATGACCAGGGTATTCTATGTGCGTCACCGTGCTCTTTACGTTTCACAGCGTGTTGTTGAATTCGCCGCCAGATCCGTGGAACCAAGTATTGATTTCCTCCACGCACGCAGCCCAGTCCAGCTACGCGAGGATAGCATGTTAGTCAGGTGCGTCTTCACACTTTAGTTTGGCTACAATGGGTCTCCAACACTCTCTATCTCTTGTCTTGGCTGTTCATTGTTCATTTAAAAGATCATCTTCATCGCACATCAGACATGGCCATAAGTGCTCCGATCTCCTCTTGAGTCTGTTTCCAAGAGTTTTAGGCCAATAGCTGCCAAAATATTCCAGCTGATGTAACGACAGATAGCTCCTGCATAGTCTTACTGTCTCGCTGCTACAATTGGTACACTCAGGGTATGCAGTCTATTCAGTGTAAAATCATGTTCCATGAAACTAAAAACTGCACAGCGTCCGTCATCCCACCAGCATGACCTGGGACAAAAATAAAGGTGATCCGGCGAAGCTCTGCGTGCCGAATCAGACGGAGCCACTGTCTCCGTATACATCCTGCCCTGAACTTCCACAGCATGCTCACCGAGTCGCTGAGAAAGCATGGACTGATGAACTGAGTCCCCAGACTAGGGCCCCCGTCACAGCCACGACCTCCATTGTCATGTCGCTGGTGGTAGAAACAAAGGCTCCACTATCTTCCCTGGTGACTTTTTCTTTCGTTCTTGCCGTGAAAACCCGTGTACTTCGCTTCCGACGAACCACAGAACCATCTGTATATAGAACAGCACCTTCCGGTGATGTGTAATCTTTCACCAATGCTTTCACTTCTGCATCAAATCCCATCACTGCCCTGTCAGGTGTTTTGGTGGTACGCTCTCTAAGACTGCTGTTCGTTAATTTCCTGATGTTGTCCTGTCACTTGTAAAGAGGACAGTATACCAATATTACGCATTCTGGCTGCATGTGGTTGTTTTCTCCTCTGCGTGATTTAGCTGTGACTTCCAGGAATAGGCACTTGTGTTGTTGGCTAGACATCGACCTGGCTGCCTAGAGATATGAAGATAAGTAGTATTGTGTATGTGTGTAGTATTGTATAATTTGTGTATGTGCTGATGAAGTATAGCCGCAACGTTCACGTTTTGTTCGTGTTTGTTATATTGTGAAGCTCGCTGATAAACTTTTCGTTCGGATTTATATCTTCCCTTGTTTATCATTAAGAACTGTATTTTCTTACTATCACATTTGAGTACTTTATTGTGTTTTGTTAATTGCTTTGATTGTAACTTTTACATATGGCACTTGTCTTTGTCAGCGTGATGCTGACCCCATCACCAACCGAGCTATAAAATATAGATCTAGCCCTATATGCCCAATACGCTTGAAGGCGTGGAAAAGAGTCATTTACTAGTGTTTATCACTGAGAAATATAATTTCTTACTAACATACTCGAGTGCTTTATTGTGTTTTGGTAGCTACTTTGGTAGTGACGTTCACGTGTGGCACTTGTATTTATAACTATTTATAACACCCATTTTATGAAGAATTTATTCAGGAAAAAAAAAGTAGACTCAAACGAAGCAAATCCTGGATTTGTAGGGCTGAGGATGCAATCAAACATGTTGGCCGCCTTACTGACATTAATTTTGGAATTAATTAGATAATTATGCCTCCTTCTCCAAACATTATTATTACAATCCATTTCATGCGTGATGGAAGCTGTAGAGAGCAGATTCCTGGCATTTTTTACACTTTAGTCAGAACACTGACTGACGAAATCACAGATGAAGCTGATGCTGTAGTTTACACAGATGGGCCAGTAAATCGAGGCAAGCGAAGTGCATGGGCCTTCACAGTAAGCTCAAGGGGGAAAACCATTAAGGAGATGAATGGCGCCTTTGCTGTTACAGCTAGTAGCCTCAGAATGGAAACTATGGCTGTAACAGGGGCATTAGCATGGCTTGGTACTCAAAAGTTCACACATGTATGCATTCTTAGTGACTCGATTAATAGGCTTAACAAATCCAAGCTGGATTTATCAGGCAAGAATGGAT